TGTATTATTTTACCTGTTGTAAATATGCTTTATTCAGTTTAAATATATTTTGTATAATGTCTGTAAAAAAAATTCTAACCACTGAGAAATATTCGTAAGAATTATTTAAAGGCATATATTGCGTTTTTTTTATATAAGTTCAGACTACCTAAATTAAAAAGATCTCTCTATTTGTTTTATTACTTTATATAAAAATAGGACTTTCCTGTAAATTACACAATTTAAATCAATCACGTTTCAAAGATATTAGAAATTTAAAACAATAACCGATTTATTTACCCGATTCAGATTTTAATTAATAACAGACACAGTTTTTTTTAATCAGTCAAACTATGGAAACATGAGGTTACTCAAGTTCAAAATCGGTGAAAAATTTAATTTCAACGTAAATAACATATATCATGTTTAGCTACACCCAATCTCGTATTTTTATTTTTTAAGCTCGGATATGCCATATATATAGCTTTAACAATTATTCCGAAAGAAGATGGATAAAAACTTAGCGTTCCTTTTGACTTTAGTTCGTAGCCCCCAACTACGGCAGCAAAGAAGTTTTAAAGCGCCAACTTAAATTAATCTGAACCTGAATTAATTCCCAAGACTTTCCTTATTTTCCTTAATCGTATCCTCTGAAGTGACTTGGTCATCGAGCCACTGGGATTTGATTGATTATCAAGCCACTGGGAATATCAAGAGAAAAACTGAGACATTCCTGCATCATGCCCTTCTGCAGATTCATGTTCTAACGCTATATTATGTATAATATAAGTACATGTACATGTATAAGCTCCTGGGAAAAAAATCATGCAAAGAAAGGTAATAAAATTGAAACGTTACCATTTAAAATTAAGTATTTACACACCGAAAAGAACCCCAATCTACCAACATCGATTTTATAGGCTGTTCCATGAGACACACATTTTATAATTTTGACTTTATTTCAAGAATACGAGGAGTGATTTTTTTTTACCTTTTCTCATTGACAAAAAACGCAAATTAGAATTGCATAAAGAAAATGATAACAGTTGCTTTGTTTATTAATTCTTAAAATCTGAGCCAGGTAAAGAAAACTGTATCTTTTCGTAATACCCACTTTTCTACAGGGGTAAATTTAAATAAAAAGAATAGTCCACACATCGGAGAAAATACTCATAATGATTCTTTATGATCTTTATTCCAATGCCTGCATCACTGAGTTACTTAAATCAGAGACATTTATGTTTCCGCCTAAGTTGTGCATTTAGGTAAAATTTCTTTTCTTCGAAATTAATTATTATTTTTTTGAATAAGTTCTGTTTTATTTTTCATATATACGGCATTAATTATCGATTGACTAAAGTGCACATAAAAGTAAATTTTTTGCCATTGTATATATGCATTTAATGTGAGTTGTTATTTAAATGTTTTCACTGTTTTCTTTCGTCAGTAAATCTTGGATCCACGCCTTGGCTTATACATTCAATATGCCATGTTTTGTGTATTTTGATCCCCGCGCGCTGACCATCGCTTTACGCAATAGCCCAGATACAATGTTTATGTATATATATTTAAGCCGTTAATGAAAACCCACCACCACCTAAGTGATCCTACCTCTATTACTCTTAATGAACTCTGGTGAAGTTTTACTTTAACTTTAAGATGGACTATTTTGTTTAATAATAATAAGATAGACTTTGGTCAATTTTGTTTACATCTCTATATTTAGAAATCGTGTCATTGTCAGTTCCTTTGCCAGACCACCAGCTTATCAATGGCAGCTTACACTAGGACTTTACTTCCGGTGATTCAAACTTAATGTGTCATCTCCCGAGGGAGATGACAATCATACATGTACCTAGTCGGACAAGGTTCCTCGACTATTTGTCAATCTATTACAGAGTTAATCTAATGATATGCTCTTTTAAATTTCATTTTAATTTTGAATTTTTACATCTCTTTTTATCTAATGAGTTAGCAACACCCAACAAAAATCTACTGTAACAATTTTTATAAGTTTATACGAGAATAAACTTTATAATTATTAATTTGACCATGCCTTTCAGTACGATATCAGTTTTTGATATATGATAGTGTATTCTTGATTAAGGCTTCCTTGAAAGCGTATACAGAGTTAAAGTACTTAATGGTCTTCCGACTATACATTTCTTCTCTTTTGTGATTGGTAGAAAATGCATGATGCGAATTTCAACGAAATGCTGATCAAGACAAGGGAGATAATTTTCTGGTGAGTTTTCGTTCGACTTAAATTTTTTTTCTTCAAGATTTTCAATCTTTCAAAAATCGACAAAACGAACAAAAGAAAAATGCAATCAATGAAACTGACACTTTAGTATTTTTTTTTTTTTTTTTTTACTGAACTATTGTTAATTTTCATGGTTAACAGAACGTTCTCTCTCTCTCCTTTTTTGACATGCAAACATTGAAATCTGTTGTCTATTTTTTATCCTTTGTTTAACGTTTTATGCTAGGGCTAATGTCTCAATTTTCTGTGCAGAGTTCAACTCTCAGATACCTCTTCAATAGACTGGCACGTCAATATTTTTGACATAAAGTAAAAATAAACTTGATATTTCAAGGATTATTTCAAATTGAACTAATAGCTTTATATTTAGATCTAGTTAGTAAATATCTATCTTAATTTAGGACAAACATGAGCGCAAGCATGTAATGTTAATGAATTAATGAAACACATGTATGGAGATAAAGGACCCTAATCAAGTTCAAAGTCCTTTAAAACAATACAATGTTTACAAATCGGGAGCAGAGCGAGCACGGACCTCCAAAAACATCAGAGGTAGAATCAGGTGTCATGGAGGAGTAAAGCATCCCCTGTCGACCGGTCACACCCGCCGTGTTCTCCTTGTAATGATTGGGAAAGGGAAAAATCCGTGGACAATTTAGTGTGTAAATAATGGCCTAACAATTAATATGTAAGAACGTCAGTCAGCATTCGACTTAATGATAGATAATTGCATTTGCTGACAAGGTCGTTGTATCGACCATAGACATTGCAAATCGATGATGTTGAATGATTCTGTTAATATTCTTGTTTCATCAACTTGTTTGTCAATAGTTTGCTTTTAGAAATTGTTCGTACGTAGAGCATGCTCCTGCGTATCGAATTAATTCGGTGACATAAACCCCACACGCAGGTGATAATGATATATTGCTACATAATAAGGGAAGATGACGGTAGAAAAGTTTAAGTCATTATGGTTTATCATGAAATTTTGTTGTTAGGTTACCAATAACGTCTTTTTCTAGTAAAATATCCAAATATGAAAAAGATGTGTCAGACTCTGTGGTATCTTTTATTTCAAGTTCACTGGGATATATCGAGTCGACATACGAATGGAAGTAACTATTGCTAATTGATAATACATGTATGTCGTCGATATATCTAAATGACGAGTTGAAGGCTCCAGCAAGTGTTTTCTTCTTCTCATGTATAAGGTTTTGGATAAATTGTTTCATATGAATACAAAAATAGGTATGCTAATAACAGGGAGCAATTGGTGCCCATGGGAATTTCGACAGATTGTTGGGAGATCTGATCTCGAAAAACTACATACTAGTAGATACATGTATTTTCAATCAGAAACTCGAGCATCCTTTTAATATCAACTTCCGAGTACTTCTGTGTATATTAACTAAATAGTTTTGCAAATGACCAATGACAAGGTAAATAAATTTACGAGTTGCATTTTTATTGAAAAAGCAGCTGTCTATGTTGTCAAAAAGCCTGGACTTTAGTAACAAACGCTTTATTTCTCGTGCTTATCACTGTGATATACGTGAGCCATCGGCAGAGGTGAATGAGTCGATGGAAGAGAGTGCTAATTTAATTTCTGTAAAAAGCAGTTGAAGATATACAGAATCAAGAACTACAGGACTCAAAAATAATAAGACCTGATAAGTGTATGTCAGTTTACTGTCTAAGGCTGTTGCTTAAGACGGCAAAGCTTTTTGAATTTTGTATGAATGAAAAATTTTTCAAGATTATCATTCCTAAAAAAAATTCGACTAAACGAACAATAGAAAATTATTCCAATAAATGAAACTGACGCTTTATTTTTTAAAAGCAATTATTAAAAAGTGTGTCCATATTTTCGTGGTAAACAGAAATGTTCTACATTGCATCCAAACTTAAAATTTATATTTTATATTCTTTTTTACCTTGTTTTGCAATGTCTTACACATGGAATGACTAATGTCTGTAAAAGGCTGATGAAGAATCGAAATACAAAGAACTGCTAAGGAATAATACGGCCTGATAGGTTGTATGTCAGTTTACTGTTTAAGGTAATTGCTGATGACGGCTAAGCTTTTTCATAAAGCTATACCGTTGATGACTATAAGTATAATTATTCCCATGGCTTTATGGAGCATCATCTAAGTTACGTTCATAATGAAATCGAGTTTGTAATCGGATTTCACTTTTTGCAGTCTTACGCATCCTAGCATGCATATTCTACTTATATATAACACAGAGCTCGAACCACTTTCAAACCTTCATATTAAGTAATTTACAAATTAGTATCTTACACATTAATTAATAACATGCTTATTAATTTTACTCTTCCGTCGTAAAATTGTGCACATTGAATATCCACAAAGCCGTTTAATTATTCACAGGTAAATAAAACGATACTGTTTATATTCCTTAAAATGCCGCATGACTAATTTTTTTTTTATACTAAATCAGAAATCTTATCCTTCCATGCACCTACTTATAGTCTGATTATGTTTGCTGGTTATCTAATTGAATTGTGGTAAGGCGAATACGTTTAAAACCATTACATCTTCAGCTATTCAATCCAGTCGACACGCATACAAAATACAATGGACACATATACTTATTTTAAAAGGTACTTTGTAGCAGTAAAGTATATTTAAGTTTTACATGTACATTAACTTATACAGGCTGTGACGAAACAAATGATCTGATTCTGCTGAAAACAGAAAAGTGTCACATTCTGTACATACAAGCAGAAGACGTCAAAAGGTCGGAATTCTTAATGAAATCTGTCAGTGGGATGTTTTCACTTTTCACTGAATACACAAAACCGGTTCAGAGTGATTTTGTGGTTATAGGTGTCGTCAAACTGCCACGCTTGATAAATTTGTAATGTCATTAGAAGATGCTCAATTCAGGTTCCGAATCATGACTTGATCTGATCATTCGGGATCACTCAGGTGTGGCCGTTCACCTCTGCTATAATCTTGACTGTGCTATATGAAGTCGTCGCTTTTGCATAATGCGGATAAGTGTTGTATTAATTTTGTCTTCGTATGAATCAAACTGTCACCAAGTACGTTATTCATTTAGTTAGAATTCATGTGCGATATTTTTGGAGTTTCGACTTGACTAAACTTCTTAATTTTCCTACCTGATATCGTAAGGATAAAATTTTGAATGTTGTGTTATTCGTGAGGAGTAATTTTCACAAATGTGAAATCAAAAGAATGTGTGTTTCTTTTTGTATCTTACCAGAGTTATTCATAAACCAAATGCTTTGAAAACACACCCCTTCATGTGTCAGCTGGCAACCTTGAGGCTTTTCTAATGTCAGGATTTCTTGTGAACGGCTATCAATCTGGGCTTGTACCAAGAAGCAACGCAGAATGGGTCAACATTCAAAAGAACACTTTTACCAATTGGGTCAACGAGCAACTGCGCATGCGCGGACTGTCCATCCATGACCTTAGGACTGACCTTGCAGATGGGGTCAGTTTGGTAGCACTTCTGGAGGTCTTACAGCGCCGACGTATATCTGGTGCTGTGGAGCGCCCAAGCAATCCCCATGAAGCATTGCAGAATTTAAATGTAGCTTTGGAAGCTATCGGAGAAGATAATGTTCGAATTGTAAATATAGGTAAGAAGTGTAGGCTATATATTATTATTTTTCAGATTTTTCAGGTCAAGGACACATTGAATCACTTATATATATATATATATATATATATATATATATATATATATATATATATATATATATATATATATATATATATATATATATATAATTGAAATATATATATATATATATATATATATATATATATATATATATATATATATATATATATATATATATATATATATATATAATTGAAATATATATATATATATATATATATATATATATATATATATATATATATATATATATATATATATATATATATATATATATATATATATATATATATATATAATTGAAATAATAAAGATTTTAATAATAATAAGATAATAAAGATTTCGTAGAAGATGGCACTTTAATCCACAGCGCTTTCGCCTCTTGGCTTATCAGTGGATTTTGAAAAGTGACAATAACAATAGCAACATGACATGTTGGTTGAATCGGAATTTAAGTTTGATTTGACTTACGTCTACGATTCATTAAAAAGATAAAACAAGGATCTTTATAGTGAAAAATATGAATATTGTATCTCAATGCATAATGATTTTCTAAACATCATGGGGGAAAATACAATTGTTACCGAGAAGGTGGACTGTATTTTTAGTTTATCTAAGTGCATTCTGTGAGTGTAGTGTTTTACTATTTTCAAGGTCAATGCTTCCTGGTACACATTAATGAAGACGCGTGTAACAAGATGATTCTGTCCACGCCTTTAGTCATTATATAATTAAATTAAATACTTGATATGCTTCAAAGTGATTTTTTCCAACAACTTGCAATCGTGGGGTATCCATATATTTTTTTATATTCACCAACTTTTCTAATTAATTCTTTTGATATTCATTTTGGTTAGCCTTCAGCGACTACAAAAAAAAATCAGTATGAAAGAAAAAAATATGCATGTTTTGATCAGAAATCCACACCTCACTTGATTGTGGGCGTTTTTATCTGAAATAAAAGTTGATAAACCTGTATAGTTACGTTTTAACGACTAGGATGGACTAGCTTTTTAAAATTGTTAAGGTATTCGAAACTTCTTGTATTCTTTATGAAAATAAATACTATTAGACCGACAAAAAATGTCATACATGTATTTGCAATGAATAAGCGCTCGAAGGTCAAGCTGTTTTTTTTTTATCTTCCTGGCTGCATATTTGGTCCATGTATTAAGCACTCGCGTTGGTCATTAAATGGGAAAGCACTTTTCAATGAACCGATAAAACATCAACAATATATTGGTTCCCACAAAGTATTACCTTTACAATGCTTTAATGGGGCATTAAATGTGAAGTTCGACTTTTAAAGTGGGCCTTCCTATTTTCTACCTTGTAATTAGTCTGTTCTAAACCGTTACAATGGTCAGGAGAATATTTTTTTATTATCCGTTTGACCCGACGGGAAACTTTGTTTCGCATTTCCTTTTTAATGTGTTTCAAATAATTATAATGTTAAGTTGCGCTGAAACAAAGTTAAGGAAGTGTTTTGTAATATATATTTATATATATTTCCTCTCAGAATCCTGCGAAATCTCTTTAATTATAACGAAATCAGATTGACCTTTACTTTAACTTAAACAATGTCGTGAACTCAATGCATGGAAGTGAGAACAATGACACAGCATGAGATTTCTCCTAGATTTGCGTAATTTGGTGAATATATAAATTATCTTTAGTATATGTTAACAGTTATCCTCCTAAGAAAGGATACTTTGTCCATTTCGCGGCGGGCCTTTAATTAGGTCCAACTATGCCGTAACACGACCATATCAATACTAATCGCCTTTGACAAACGTTTTTATTAAGTTGAACAAGTTTTCTCCAAAACGATGTTCATTCCACCTCACTTGCCTTTCATATTATTTTTATGCTCAAGCAGTCGTCATATCTGTTGTTTTATTAATTATTTGATTTCGTGCACATCGTTTTATGCCAGGACATAAGCTTCTTAGCTGAATATTTCCTAGGACCACGGTGGGCTCTTTGAGTTTCACAGGATATAAATTGTGTCTAGTGATACATACATTCACGTAGTTTAACCCAGAGCAACAAAAATTTAAACATTGCATCTTGAAAGATTAAATCTTGGATGATAAAGTGGATTCCAATATAAATGTCAATAAAGAAAACTGGAATAATGTCTATGGATAAATCTTTTTTTTTTTTTACATTCAACTGTTCTATTGTGATGCCAACTCCTATTTTACTCAAAGTGGATTAAAAAAAACTCTTGAAACTGATTCGTAATTATTGTATTCCCTTTAGGTTGTACAGATATCACAGAAGGCAACATTAAACTGGTTCTTGCCCTCATTTGGCAGCTGATCCTCCGTTATCAGGTGGGACTGTCTAATATCCAGCACAAGAACTGGATGTTGGCATGGCTACAAGCTGTTATTCCGGAATGTAACATCACTAATTTTACAACTGACTGGAATGACGGAGTAGCCCTACAGTAAGTCTGAGGGTTTTTTTCTGAAAATATTTTTCGTGATTTGACAAATTTATATAGTCCATTATGCGGTAGTCACCTGCATGTATTGCACAGGGCCCAATCAATGATTCACATAAGTTCAATCAAAATTTTTTAAAGAGCATTAATGGGAAAGATTCAATAAAGTGTCGTATGCGTATGTCAACACCTAAACTAGAGTGTTATTTTTTTTTTTTTTACAAATAACCGCCCGAGGCAGTAAAATTAATTGTCTTTTGGCAAGATTTCATGGCTTTCTAGCCTTGAGAAATGCACAAAAACAAACAAAATTTTAGTACATTGCCAAACAGGTTTAGAACCTGAGGAGAATTAATTGTAAACCTGAATTACTGGTACAAGTATTGCTCGTGGTTTCTTAACCGTCTTTTACATGGTTATATGTATGTGTTTTTATGTATGGTGCGTGTTTAAAGTTTAAATATTTACCATGAAATCAAGAGTAAAACACAAATACAAATAAAAACAAAATTTCTCTTACAAAATTCGTTACACAACATATGCTCCAAAAACGCTGGATATAAGTTGTCTATTGGTAACAAAGCAAACATTTTTTTTCATTATGTTGACATTCTTAGAATGTACTAAGTATAATAAGTAAGATTCTGATCTATGCCCTAGTGACGGTGTTAGAATATGACGTAATTGTCTGTGACTACATTGAAAACCATTTCCATATAAAGAAGTGAGTCAATGTAGGATTATCACATAAAAAGACTTACAGACACTTTTGAAATCGAATTCACTTTCGCAAAAGTTCCTTGTCGCAACCTTTTCCATTCAAATTCATCAAAATGAAATATGCGAACTGAAGTATAATTGCGGACCAAATCTAGGTTGGTTTTTGAGACATTAAAAAAAATGATATCCATCAATCTTAATCATGAAGGTGATTTTTATTTATTCTTGTGTCGTACATGTAAGCATTAAGTCCAAATAAAATTTGAATATCTTTTATCTTACAACTTTATCATTATGATATCGCTTTGAAGTAAGTTGCGTGTCGATCTAGTAAGAAATTATTGCTGAAACATTATACATTCTGAACACGGTATGTTGATTGGAACGTGGAATAGAGCGAAAATTCACATTTTTTTTTTTCGTTTTGAAATTTATAGCTGAGAGAAATTGTATTCAATAGTCTTTTGGTATTTGTAACAAATGTATTACGCCATTTTAATATTTAGAGACATTGGACAATCTGCAAAGATATATATATATATATATATATATATATATATATATATATATATATATATATATATATATATATATATATATATATATATATATATATATATAACCGATTGTTTTCTCTCTCTTAAATATCCCTTCAAAATAATTTATAAATCTAAGTATCTTCAGCCTTAAAATTGAGGAAAAATACATAATATAATGATATCAGTTGGTCTAAACTAGGGTAATAATCCCTTGACTATTCCGCTGTTCCACTTTTCCGCGATTCGGCACTTTTTTGCGAAAAAAATTATTTTCCGATAAAATCGCCTAAAAGCAGGACGGCCGACAATTTAGCATACTGAAAGAATTAAATGGAGAGTACAAGCTTGTCATTATAAGTAACATATTCAGATTTGAAGTATGGCCTGATACTCTTACACAGATCTGTTTGTTACTTGAAGCGCATCAATGACCCTGAATGGAAAGTGTCAGGTCATAATAACATCGTCAAGTTTCAGAACAGAACTGACAACTGTTATGAAAATCACAGGTACTTGGGTCTTGGTTTATAAATATGAATGTACCTTATTGATATGTAAAAAAAGTACTTTTTTTACATATCAATAAGGTACATACATATTTATAAACCAAGACCCAAGTACCTGTGATGAAAATAGGAGATTCATTTCATTTTTTTTTTCACAAAATTGAGCTGCATCTAATGTTCTTGTACTCTAATATATCAGGAATTTCATAGTAATATTCTTCAGAACTGTAGGGTATTTATCAATCTAAATGAATCGGGACAGATTTTGTTTATAATAGAGCTTTTGAAATAATTTTTTATGCAATAAAATCATTTTTTATAAAGATAAAATTGCCTTTACTTGTGTCGTGTAAGTCGGTCATGAAAAGCTAACATGGTACATTACAATTTTGTATTGCAGTGCGCTGATAGAATTCTGTAGTCCCGGTTTGTACCCAAATTGGAAACATCTAAGGGGACAAAACAGGCAAGTTAAAGCGAACCTACAACATAGATCTAAATCCTTAGAGATATACATATGCTTAGCAGCTACACGCACAACATGTGAAAATACGTCATTTTAGAGTTTAAGACTTTTTCTGTTTCAAATACAGTTCTTTTTCTAAATTCATTTTTATATTCATTCATGATAAAATATGGTATTTAATTAGAGATTAAATTATGCTGTTTTATGTGGTAGATTTATGAAAAAAAAGAGAAAAATCTTATTTTAATTAAAAGGATCATTTTGTCTACATCAAGTGTTCAACTTGATTGTAGTTTAAACATGACTATTATGAATCAGTTCATCTTTCAAGTGACAGGTTTCTGTTGAATAATGATTATTGTTTTTTACAGGCTCAGCAACTGTCAAAATGGAATCAAAATAGCCCGCAAGCATTTCGGAATTCCTCTCATTCTTAATCCAGAACACCTCGCAAGTTCCCAGCTGGACGAGCTATCCTGCATTACATACTTATCATATTTCTTAAAAGTCGGATCCCCAGGTTTTAACGCCACGCTTCAGCGCGTTCAGTCTCTAGTCAGGGACATCCCAGTGTCCAATTTCACGGTTAGTTTACCACCACTGTAAGGGGGTAAGAATTTAATTAGAATTTGAATCAATGCAATTGCATACATAAACAGGTTTGTTGGGCAAACTGTTTGAATATATTAACGCTTATAGCTGATAATGTGTATTTATTGTATATTGTATGGAACATAATAAACTTGAGAACCATTTAATTATATTGTTTTTCTCACACCAAAAATTCAGTTCCATTTAAAAATATTTAAAATAAAACATGAAGTGTTCTTTTTTTCTATTGCATTGTCTATAAGTACATGTACATTAAATTCATATATACACTGTAAGCAAGTACAATATAATGTACATAATATTTAGACTTAAGGTGAAATGTCCCTCTGGTAAGAGAGATAACTTTCCAATGAATTCATTCCTAGCTGTTCGGTGATTTGTCTTTCCAGAGATTAATACATGTAATAAGTACCTCTATATAGTCAAATTCTACCAAATTTAAATTATGTTACAAGTATTGAATTCTATTTTCATTTGCCAACATTTTTGATAGTTGCTTATAATATTTGACCTAAAACTTTGTACTCAGTTCTTTTAAACTCTTAAAACTGATTCAGAGGTATTTTTATCTCTCAATAAACTTTTTTTAATGCTACAGTATTTTATCATGTATTGGGTGCAGAATATCTATTATCAATAAAATTTTCTCCCTTAACTTTCATTTTGAAGAAATTAACTCTTGTAGATAGAAAGATAAAACTTGTAGATTGGTATTTTTTTTTTATTACAAGCACATAAAACAATGTAGTATTCTGATTTAAAAAACAACACTTTATTATGTTTTCTGATATGAATTAAATATGTATATGACACTGAATACTATTTTCATATATACCTCATATTTTATAATTTTATGTTGAGATAATAAATTATTGATCTTTCTTTTCACTGTCTCAAATTTTCTTCCTATCATGATTAGATATAATAATAATTCGTTTCTGAAAAAGTAAGCAACGCTTCATACTTTATTTTCCATTTGAAACTCATGCTCTTTGTTGTTGATGAAAATCAATGTTGAGAATTTAAAAAAAAAAAATGGTGAAATTAGAGCAGAGGGATATTACACCTTAATGGCTTTTACAAAGACGCCATGTCATGTTCATAAATATATTCTTTTAGACTGACTGGAACGACGGACGAGTCTTGTGCAAGTTAGTAACCAATCTAGGGGGAAGCCTTGGGGACTACCACACCGCCTCTAATATAGAAAGGCTGCAATACGGTTTGTAAATAGAATTCATTTTATATTGACATTTACTTCATCAAATTCATACTGTTGCTTTTGGCATTCTTGCTTTTCGTCCTTAAACGGAGATCAATTTATTAACTAGTCAGTTACATTTTACTAATCAGTGAAACATTGTTTCTTCAATGCATAATTAATATCTTGCAGGTATTGATGGCGCACAGTCTCTCGGTATTTATCCAGTAATTACTGCAGCAGATATGGCTGAAGAAGACTCGGAACATCTCGGCATTATGGCATATGCTGCAAAATTCATAAATATGAAACCAGTTTCCATATCAGCTTTTTCAAAGTATGAGCAGAAACAGGTAAATCACTAAATGTGAGAAAATATAAGCCTAAAAATCATTGTCATGTGATGCGTCTTGTTCTTCAGATTTTTTAAAATATATCCTTTTTAATTACAAAGCATTCTTACATTGTTCATAAAATTAACATATGTGCATGGAGAATATTTTTAGATAATATTTACCGTGCATATTAGTCAACAGGTCCACACACCATACAGTAATTTAAATGAGTAATAAGAGTTGATGTAGCAATATTGGCATTAATTTTCTAATAAATAACAAAACTTACTTGATATTGTTATAGTAATTGTATTTTTAGATAATTGTCTGTGACGAAAGACAAACCGTGATTCCTTCAGAAACTGTGATTCCAATTCAAAATACAACAGACTCAAAATACACAATTATCCAGCCCGGTGCCAATAAACCGGACAGGACGAGGTCTTTCCGAATCGAACGGATTAACAATGGACCAAGGGTCAGTTCCTATCAAATCAATGGGGCAGAAACTAAGTCCGAAAGTTCATTTCGTATTGACGGAACCTACGTCACGTCTGATCCACGACCAAAACAGAAACCGGAAGTTAATGGCTATCATGACACGGTAGATAGTAATGTTACTTATAATCTTATTCGACAACCTTCACTGAGAAAAGCAAAGAAAATCCGCTCGGATCCGACTGGAGGGGTTAAAGTAGATACGTACTCTGTTGGTGTCATCATGTCGACAACGGTAAGCAAAAAGTTAATTTTTAAATCTTATTCTTGCCGAGAAAACCATACGCACTCCATATTTGGAATGAACTCAATAAAAAAGCAGTTCACGCTAATACTTATAAGTAATTCCCCCAAGAGAGTGAGTAGGGCAAGAAAAAGAATACAATGTATAACGACCATATTTTGTACCTAATAAATGAATGGCCCGATATTTTTAATTATGGTAGCATTTTGAAGGTGTTGTCAAATAAAAATACTCTACCAAAGGAATTTACAAAATCTTGATTATTGTCCAATTAATTGCACCTTGAATTTTACATTGAAGTCTATGGGAAGTGCATGTGTTTTTAAGATATTGTAAAAAGTAATTTGAACTTCATACAAATCTCTTGTTGAAAATATGCATAAACTCTCTCTTTATTAAAATATGTAATAAAACGAATCATTTACCACAGTTATTTGACAAAATTAAAATTTTCTTCTTTTCATCAAGGGCAGATAACTCTTCAAAAACATTTAAGGTGCAAAATGGCCGGCTTCTTTTATGATATCAGTCATGTGAATTTGGTTCATTTCACTTTCATCGTTATCTAGCAATCCATATTTAACTAGTTTAAAATGATTCAAAATTGTTCAATATACCTTCGTTATACATTGAATACCTTAAGGGAGTTGAGGGAGGGATCCTTAAGTTTACAGATTTTAATTTAAAGCTAGGATACTTATTATTCAAAGGCTCTTCCATCTTCGTGTTTTTGTTTTTTTTTTTTTTGGGGGGGGGTCCATATTCAACAAGAGGCCCATGGGCCACATCGCTCACCTGAGTAACTTTGGCCATGCTGTTCTTTACCAGATTTCCCCCCATGTAATACATATTGTGGGCCCGCCCTACCCCCGGGGGTCCTGATTTGAACAATTTAGAATCTACACTACCCCAGGATGCTTCCACATAAGTTTCAGCTTTTCCGGTCCAGTTGTTCTTGAAAAGAAGATTTTTAAAGATTTTTCGTATATATTTTAATGTAAAACTTGGATTCCCTATTGTGGCCCCGCCCTACCCCAGGGGGTCCTGATTTGAACAATTTAGAATCTTTACTACCCCAGGATGCCTCCACATAAGTTTCAGCTATTCTGGCCCAGTGGTTCTTGAGGAAAAGATTTTTAAAGATTTTTCCTAAATATTTCAATGTAAAACTTGGATTCTCTACTGTGGCCCCGCCCTACCCCCGGGTGTCATGATTTTAACAATTTAGAATCTACACTATCCCAGGATGCTTCCATATAATTTCAATATTTTTGGCCCAGTGGTTTTTGAGAAAAAGATTTGATTTTTTAATGACCCCACCCTATTTTTGTCTTTTCTTGATTATCTCCCCTTGTAAGTAAACTTGGCCCTTTATTTTAACAATTTACACTCTCCTTCACCCAAGGATACTTTGTATCAAATTTGGTTAAAATTGGCCCAGTGGTTCTTGAGAAGAAGTTGAAAATGTGAAAAGTTTACAGACGGACGGACAGACAGACGGACGGACGACGGACAACGGGTGATCAGAAAAGCTCACTTGAGCTTTCAGCTCAGGTGAGCTAAAAATAGAATAAAGAAATGAATACATAAAAGAATATAACATAAAAAGAAAATTAAAAAAGAAAATGAAATTTGTACGAACCTGCAACCTTTAAATTTTTTTTTTGACATTAGAAAGCAAAAGTAGGGATTGGATTACTGATCACTAATTTAATCCCTATTTCATAAGCTTGGCAAGTAGTGCCAGTTTATAAATAGAGGGTTTTTTTCTTAAAAATTCCTGAGGATATATATGTCATTAAATAAGTTGAGTTTATGGCATAGACTGACAGAGAGGGTCTAAGAATAATATAACATTCATATTAATTGGAAATTTTGCTTTTAAATGCATAATAGGAAAGAGGTCTATGGTTACCTTTTTCTCGAAGAGAAAGTGAAATATGCAGTGTAGGGGTTACTTGCAGACAATGATTTTTAAAATAAAATTCCATATGCAAAATAGAAGAATGTTAGGCAGCAAAATAACGAATCATATCAGAGAAAATGAATACCGGTATAATTAATGACATGATCAGAAATTCCCGGTTAAAATGTATAACTAGTTTCTCCGTTTACTTTTCAGAAAAGCAAGTACCGAAATTGTTCTTCTTGCCGTTAAAGTTTATAATTTTTAGGTACATAAAACAATGACAATCAAAATTCCCAGAAAATTTCGATAGGGTCTTGACAACCACAACGGTACCTAAAAAATATAATGTCGATCCCGATCCGAAGTCTGGTTTTATAAGACTAATATTCTACGTTATTGCACTGAGAAGGGGACTGGGGAGAGGGTTGAAAGTAAGGAAGGTAAGATCATACCTACATGTAGACATATAAATAGGACTTGAAGGTTCCTAGAAACCTGAAGGTCAAAGGTCAAGGTACCGGCATTACATTGCTATCAGCAAATTCCGCCGGTATGTTAACAATAAGCTTGATCTTTGACCCAATTATAAGTTCAATGTCAAGAGGCCCGTTACAAGTTTCTAGGACTTTTCGTGTAGAAGTTTTAGGTTCTACCCCAAGAAGTGAAAAACTTTGGATCTACCCCTTCAAAGCAGCAGCCAATGATTGTCTGGCGTATCTTAAGAAAATATGGTTGATTAGCATAAATGACACTTTTATTGAGTTCATCGATGTCGAATCTGGCCAGGATTTCCTGACACGAAGATAAAGATATTGGTTGCTTAAATCTTTGAAAATGTTGCATTCCTCATGGACTCTAATACGTTACATACTCGTAGACACGCAGAGCCAATGCTGCGTGCTTTATAAAACCACTCCAAGACAATAAATATGACTTTAAACTGAAAAAATCGCTTTTTTAATTTAACAGACAGATGATATTTTACTGAAAGATGATATCAAAATCAAAGCTGTGTCTCCAAATGGCCGTGTGATCAAAATGTCCGGTGTTGGTACATATAATGCACAGTTCGAACCCGATGAAATAGGTAAATTATTATTTTTGGCTTCGAATTCCTCCTGCCTTGGTGTAATTCTAATTTAATGAACGATTCTTTGAATATAAAATTGAATTTTACGGCAATTTTGTTAGTTTTTAAAAGAAAATGGAGATAAAAATGAAATTTTCAAGAAAATTTTATGACGTAGGAGCAAAATTTGATGGAATTTATTGTTAAAGACAAAAAAATTTTTTGTAAGGAAACGTAGCGTTTTATAATTTTTTTAGAGCCATATCTTTAAGAGTTTGACTATTTTTCTTTAATTTTTTTTTGAAAGGAGAATGGAGGGTTGCCTTGTATTGTCAAGGCAAACGTATCGACTCGTGTCCTGTAGATGTTTGTGACCCCTCAAGGGTCAGGGTCATTGATCTAAAAGGTGGAATTGTTGGAAGACCGAATAGATTTAAAGGTGAAAATTGAAAACAATTTTGAAAATTCATTAAAAAACAGTTTTAATTATTCTTCTATTTGATATCTGAATCTTATATTTTTATAAACCTTTTTTGTCTATTATACTACTTAAGCTAATGATAATAAGTATTTATCACTTTTCAGTTGATTGTTCCGAAGCTGGTAAAGGGGATTTAGAAATTTTCGTAAAAAATGACAAAGGACGTGTGTCGTCCTTCTGCTCAGACAATGGCCGTGGCATCTACAATGTTAATTTCACTCCTTACCTCAAAGGATTACATTACGTCACAGTCAATTTTAACCGGGCAGAAATCAGAGGTTAGTATGACATGTCGTTCTTCCTTTTTCTGACAACAAATAAATAAAATAAATACAAGTAACACTAAGGTACATGTAATAAATGTGAGGTTTGAATGTTTTGCTTTGTTTCATTCATAGCTCCAAAACAAGTCGCTGACGTTTGTAAGAACTATAGTCTGTCGATCTTTTTTGACTAAAATCGTGATGAAAACTAACAACCCGTCATTAACCACCACGACCCTAAAGTTTTCTGAGTGCTACCATATTATCATGATATACTGTGCATACTAAATTGCACATCATTTAATATAAATTTAAAAATTAATAGATGTGTTAAAATTGGTAAATTTAGTGGGAAACCAGAATAATTATCCTGATATGCATTTTAAAAAAAATTAGTAAGACATATTCATGGAACTATAAAAGTATATTTTGAGTACGATTATACATGAATATACTTGTACATTATATTTTTTTAAATCATATTCCTTTTCAATTAGTTACGCTTTAGTATGGGCAAGAAGTGATCGTTAAAATTGTGAATATTGGTACTTTTTAAAGTTTTTATACTACAATGTATGAAAAATAAATTTGTTTCAGACGATGAAATTTTACTTGGGGCAGACGGTGAAGGGATGCATAGGCGTGCTATTTTCTACTCTGAAATAACTGAAGAAGAGGATGGAAAATTTAAAGTGAAAGCATCTTGTATGTTATTTAACGCGTCACGAATTTCTAATGCTATGACAGTTTGTAACGCTTCTATTTGCTTAATAAACAAGTTTTACTAAAGCTTACAAAATTGTTTGAATGACCCTTACAATGTAATAGCCATAAACGCATGAATGACCCCAGTATGAAAAAGAAACAGGAGTATGTATCTTGTTACGATTTTGTAGGTGACTGGCAGATTGATTACGTCACGGGTGGACCATTCGAAATCTCAATATCGGATTCTGTGGATGTGAAAGTTTACAGCATGAAGGATGGCACGATCTGTAATCTTCCTCATCTGATAGGTAATGGGATCTGATAAAACAAAATATCGTGCATGTCAATTCAAAGGGACTTGCACAATGGTATGACAAAGCAATTTTTCATTGACCTGCGAGTTTTTTTTAATGATACCAAAAAAATTGTATCATTAAAAAAAATAGTAAATAATCAACGCTAGAGTCACTTAACAGAATTGAAGTTTTTTTTACACTAAGGGAATATTTAATAGGTTTTTTGCCTTTAATTTGATCACTTTTTTATACTGTAGCGGACTGCTCAGAGGCTCCGGAGGGGAGATTGGATGCGGAAATCACTTACGGTCACGAGCGATTCCCCGCCACTGTTACAGAGACGAATCCAAAAATATATCAAATCACGTTCCGTCCAAGGGGCAAAGGAACGTACAAAGTGTGGCTAGTGTACAGTGGTTTGGTAGTAAAAGGTAACTCTGTCATGATTCTAAAATATATTAACCTTCATGTTTGTTAATGATACGTGTTGACAGTGATGATGTCGAAAGCTGTCCAAACGAAAGGGCATCTACCGCTCATTCTCTTTAGAAAAAAGCTCAATTTATTGATTTATGTAAATTAGAGAAGGGTTTATATTATGAATTAGTATGTAATTCATTGTTTACAGGTTCGCCGTTCATCATTGAAGTGGATGAACTAACAGCTCCGAAAGCTGAAGGTGATGGGTTAAGAAAGGGGGTTGTGGGCCAACCCGCTAAATTTAAGATTGACTCCAGAGGGTTTCCGGGTGATCTGCATATCGACATACAAGGTTCATAAGTCTTATTTTAGGTTATTTTCTCACTCTGTGATGTAAATGAATGTAATTTATTTAACATGAACATTTGAAATTAACAAAACTAACATTTTAGGTCCGCACTATCCTATTAACTTCACACGAATACCTGACAAAGACGGCACATTTAATGTAACGTACACCCCCGAGGAAACAGGGCCTCATAAAATTCGTATCAATATCGATGGTCGACCAATAGAAAGTAAGTAATTTGTTGCGGGGCGGGAAAAAACAAACTTTCATATATGTTTAGAAAAAAGTCAAATATTAACGATAATGGTTATACATTCAATCTTTTTATGCAGAGAGCCCTTTTACAGTAAAAGTCGTAGACCCAAATAAAATTCGTATATCCGGGGGATGGCGCCCTTTACTAGATGACAATGAACGGATTCCATTGGTCGTAGGAAAGGAGAAGCAGATTCCATTCGATGCCTCGGATGCTGGACCTGGTGAACTTACTGCAGACGTTCGTGGGCCAACAACAAAGATTCCAACAGCCGTAGAGATACGACCCGGGGGTCGACACACGCTGGTGTTTACACCCGAAGAAGAAGGTTACCATAGTTACTAACTGCTATTCTTATGTCTGTACATTGAAGATAAAAGTCTATCAAGTACATGTACATGTATTTTACCTTAAGATTCTTTTTAATATTATTGGTGCTTTTTGGATTTATTGTTCAAACGAGATCTATATACTTGTAGAAATTTTGGGTGTACATTTCAATTTGTGATATTTTTCTGAAGATTGTGGTTAAAGCAACGTTATCCATAGGATCTTGAAAAAAGTACTAAATTTGTAATCAATCTAAGCATCCTGAACATTTCAATAGGTTAAAATAAATAGATCGAATACTTTATTTATATGTATTTTCCCCACTTTAAAAGTATTTTTAAAAAGTGATTTCTGTTCATCACAACTTTGTTATCTTCGAGCACTTTTCATGGAATAAATTTAAGGTATCCTAGTGTATTGAAAATTAAAAAAAATAACTAAGTGTTAATTAACACCTTTATACAATACAATTTTCTTGATGTCCAAAACATTATCCTTTAGCTGTAATGTAAAAAGACTTGTTTGGGTTTCAGGTGATCACTATATTAATGTAAAGTGGGATGATTTTCCACTACCCAACACTCCGTACCTAGGATACGCCACCAAGCCACCACCGGACAATGGCGGATTATTTAGACCTGTAATTAACCTTAACCTTAACACTGGATCGCCAAGGTATCTGTCCCTTATATAGTTGCTAAAATTGAAACGTCTAAATTTGAGTGATAAGCATCTACATATATACTGGAAACGAAAGCAAAAATGAGAACAATATGCGGGAACTATTATGATTCACAGGTCTATCTCATCAGACGAGCAGCCCAGAGTCCAGCCAACACAACTTCATAGCCCACTTCATAGCCCTGTTAACATCCTCTTTGAGCTTCCTAAGGTAGCTGTTACGAATTCAAACACATATCCAGTGCCCGCTCAAGACTACCCTGATAATGCGACATCTCGAACCACATCACCAAGGTCCATAAATGTCATTCGTAGACCCTCTGACACTGGTTATCCCAAAACAAGGGTTTCCAAGATGTACCTTCCACAAAGAGCAGGTATTTTTTCATTCTTTCTAGTGCACCTTGCATGTAGTATTTAAACAATTTCGACGACAATTTTAGGATGATGGACAGGCAATGAGATGAATTTGATCGCAGAAGACCCTCTATGCATATGCATCTATCAAATTGAGAGTGAAAATTATCCAATTTTGGAGTGTAAAACGAAACACCTGAAATGGCGGAAAATTCTGTTTTTCCTGGACTTAAAAACCTTTCATCGACTTATGAATTTCATTATTTGAATTCAATATTTTTGTTTCTCTACAAATTTTTAATAGAGAGTATGTATTCTTCGACAACCGGGAATTCCGACCTTCCCGTGAGAGTTAACGTTGTGCGCAGGTCCAACACTACAAGCCAAGGATCGAGTCAGCCCTCCACTAGGAGATCCTCTGTTAAGGCATACCCTGCTCCTACAGCCCCTACTAAAGACCCCTCCAAGGTTGTGCTGAGCGGGAAAGGGCTCAAACATGCTCATCTCGACAAACCAGCTGTGTTCAGTATAGACGGCCGAAACGCTGGAGAAGGTTAAAGTATTTTCTGTTGTTTGCTACACATTTTAAACAGTCTAAGATTACGCTGACTATATTTTCGATATTTTTTTTACAAAATATACCCACTTACCAATGTCACGCAGCATTTACAAAGCAAGGTTTTCCTTATCTGGAATTAATTTAATGTCTGTTGTTTATGCCATTGATTCGCGTAATTAATAACATACTTAATATCCTCTTTACTGCATTAAGCTAATTTCCATTAAAACAAAACGTTTCCCTTATATATATATATACGAGGGGTTATCAAAAAGTTCGTGGACTGATGCGATAAAATTAATACTATGTAGTCGTTGATTACAAAATTTATAGGGAACATAAAACAACAAAATTTGAAGAAGTGTTGAAAATTTCAGCTTGATATGTTGATTATTTGCCAAATTATCATTAAATAAAAAGGGAATTATATGATCACCCGGCGCTGTCGCCGTTTAGTTTCATGACGTCCGACAACGTCATTAATTCTCAATGCACGCTCCTTCTGCCTCAATACACTTATCTTGATGAGATTCTCTGGAGTAAAGTAAAGACCTAAATCCGTCAAGTTTATATGAATTTACAATGTCATGAACTCCTGATTTCAATGCATTAATATTGTAATTATTAAATCAATACATAGGAAAAGATCCTCTCTTGATTTTGCCACATAATTTTTCTTGTCGGCGTTCAATGTCAACCAATGATCAACGTCACTTTTCGATGTGACTGACTTTGGACACCCTGGCTACAAATCGATATTAACCGTGTGTTTCTTTTCTTGCTGAATCTCTTTTGGTATTTAAAAACAAGTATTTTCGATGAATTTTATTTTTCTGTAACCTGTTAAACATTTTCTAAGGCTATGCCAGGTTTTCCAGGGGCTGAAACCTTATAGAATGTTGTAAAATGATACCCTACCCCATTTCGACGTTATTTTTAACCCCTTTTTTGTTTGGACATTCAAAATAAAATTTACGATAAAATTTCATTGAATGTACAGAATGAAGTAAAACTTGCAACTTTTACGAAAAAATTGTGTCATATCACTTGAGTGAAATAATTGGATTTTCGGATGCCAAATGCTCATGTAAGATAGAGTTTTTCTAAGTTACACTCAGGTGTAAAATACGTTCTTTTCGAGGTTGCGCCGCCTGAACATACCATTGCTTACAAAAACATTTACGATTCACTAAAAAAATAAAACTTATGATTTATAGTTTATTTTACAGTTAGAAAAGATGATGCTTATTAATTGTTTAAAAATTCATTGATGTACATATAGCGGTTTTATTTTTATGGCGCTAGTCCACGAACTTTTTGATAACCCCTCGTATATATATATATATATATCTATATCTATATCTATATATATATATATCTATATATATATATATATAATTTAAACAAACGGTCCTTTTGAAAAGTAACTAAATAAATTTATTTTATTCAGTTACTTCGTGTTTCACTTTATAGTAAACTTGACATATGCGTGAATAATTTAGGGGAACCGGAAGTCAGAGTAACAGGCGTCAATAGAGAGATTCCGGTTAAGATAGAGCATACAGGTCCACTCCAGTATAGATGTACCTACACACCGACGGATCCTGGCGCTTACCTGTTAGATATTACCTGGAATAAACGGCCTCTGAAATGTTGTCCCTTCAAAATCAACGTCAACCAGCCGGTGTATCCACACAAGGTGAACGTCAGCGGCCATCCGCTCAAAAGCGGCGTCGTTGGGCGCGATATTCAGTTACATATCGATCCCCGAAATGCAGGAATAGGTAATCAGATTTTGCTTTTGTTCGTGAATTGCAATCTTGAAGAACCATACATGTAATTTTTTAAAATTTTATTTCATTTTATTACAAGATATATGCACAATTTGAGAACAAATTGATTTTTAAAAGCGTATTTCCTTATCGTTTAAAGGGGATATAACGGTTAAGTGCGTTGGACCTCAAATGTCGGAGGTACCTGTAACATTGGTTGACAACTATGATGGAACGCATAGTGTTAAACTCAGACCAGCTCAACCAGGGCGCCATATTCTGCATATTATGTATGGAAATGAACATGTCCATGGTAAACATCTAAGCAGCATCAATTAAATTACCCCAATGTGTTTTTTTTTTGTTTTGTCTTGTTCATAGTACAAGTAGTTTAAAACACTTTGAAAGAAAAGACGGTAGTAAAATTTAGACTTTATTCTTTATTGCAGGAAGTCCGTATGCAATTGACATAAAAACAGCACGGAAGCAGCAGTACCCAGTGAGAGTGTATGGTCCCGGGGTAAATGATGGAATTCTCCCAGAGTTTGAGAGCCATTTTATGGTGGATGCACAAGGGGCCGGAGCGGGAGAACTCAAAGTCGTCATCATGGGCCCAAAAGGTATATGTAGTGAGCCTACTGTTAAAACCATTCTTTTGTATTGTCCAGTGTAAAGCTTAAGGAATATGAGATTGGTTTTTAAAATACTGTAGGTATTTGGAATGACGGGAAAGGTATTTGGAATGACGAGAAAAAAACTCCCAAAATTTATTAAGTGTTATATTTCTAGGAAATCTTTTTTTAAATAGGTGCCTTTAATGTGGAACTAAGCCGTACTAGCCAGAAGGACAAACTGGTTCATTGCCGCTACAGTCCAGTAGAACCAGGTCTTTACACCATTAACGTTCTATGGTCTAACGAGCATGTAGAAGGAAGTCCATTTAAGGTTAATCTCGCAACAAGTCAACTGCAGCTAGAGCGCATGCTCATGGAAAGAAGAGCTTCTCTGCCTCGATCTTTATTGTCCAGTAAAGAGGCTCAAGGAGAACCGGAAAATCAGAACATTCTGTATTGAATAGGATTTCTATTGGGACTCTTTATGTCTGACATTTTCGTTTTATTTCCACTTATAAGATTTTTTATCATGTATAAATTTTGAATCCATAAAGGGAAAAAGAAAGATTTAAAAAGCAAAGGGTATGAAAACATTAGTTTATCGTAACATTTTCTTTGAGGCTCGTATTTCCTTTTCCAGCCATTAAGTAAAACAAAGGCGTCCTACAGAAAGCACATCGTTACATAGCTTAATGTAAACAAATTATTCATATATAAGTAATGATAATCAAACACTGTCATTTATTTGAAGAATTTTATTGCTGTTTGAATTAAGTAACGGACATCCTAAGGTGAATATTGACATGTAGTTATCCTTATTTACGTATCCTCTAAAAGTCACCGACAAGTGAAATGAAAAATTATAGGATAAATCAAAATGCTTCAAAGATTAATTATCAGCAATAATCAATGCATTGGATGACGATACATTAATGTCTTTTTAAATTTGATCATGAGCTGCTGAAAATTATGTTGCAGAATTGGATACTCTGTTGTAGAATCATGACGCTTTTATCATGTCACAGGAATTTAAATTTTTAAAGGGCACTTTTTTAAAAGTAAAAAGTAACTCTTTATTTTGATATTTTAAAAAATAAATATGCAAACAGAAAAAATAGTATTTTTATTAATAATTTTCAAAACACATAGATAAGAGGAATAAAGTTTGACTCCTTTCAACTTTCCACATTTATTAAAATATTATATATATGCATCTTGTATGTCTAAGGTTCTGAACATATTTTACTCTCTTAATTTTAATAGGTAAATAATATAATTACATATATTTTATTGATAATTTTTAGTTTTCTAGTAATTTCTTAAATGACTAATTTCCTCAAAATGTGCTCTATCAAGATTCTAGGTTAAGTATATCAAATATATGAATCGGTTGAAAAACTACCGTTAGAATATGTACATTTTTGAAGTATCCATAGAGATCTCGTTTGATTATTGTGGTTATTTTCCTTTACAAAATGTAACTTTTTAAATATATGTACATTAATGTTATTGCATAAACAATACTTGTTATATATCCTTTAAAAAATTGAATATTTTTATTAATCATAATAAACATACTCTGTTTTCAAATTCAGAATAAAATGTTTTCCAAACAAATCCAGAGGGACACACTAAAGAGGAACATGTGATACTTTCTAACGTTAACCTGAGTCACTATAGCCTGCTGCTTTTCATCAGTAGATTTTTTTGATATACATGTATTCCTGTGCAAAACTTTGATTGCCCAAAGAGGGGGAGGGGGGAGGGGGGTACTTGAACAAGCTTGAATCGACACTACCTGAGAACACTTCCTTATTAATATAACAATCCTAAGCTTTGCTGTTCTTGTGATGAAGACTTTTTTAAAAAAAAAAAAAAATCCTGTATATTTCTATGCAAAACTTTGACCGCTCATTGTGGCCTTGCTCTACCCTGAGGTGTCATGATTTGAACAAACTTAAAATTCACTACCCGAGGATGCCTCAATATGAATAAGACTAATTTTGGTTTTGCTGTGCTTTAAAAAATTAAATCGTGTATATATTCCATATAAACTTTTCTTTGTCTGCAGTGGCCCTACCCTAAAAGGCTATCCCTGGAGGTCATGATTTGAATATAAAACTTGAATTTACACTATCTATCAAAGCTTCCACATAAATTTCATATCTTCTGATCAAGTGATTGTTAACAAGAAGATTTTTAAAAAGACACAATGAAATTTTTCCTTATTCTTAATTATCTCTCCTTCTAAAAGGACATGTCAGGACTACAGACAGGGACAAACTAAATGGAAAAGATCACTTGTTTTAAGTGAGTTAAAAAAAGGTATATACTTGAAAGAGAATAAATATAACGATATACATATATTGTTGAATAGTTTAGAGAAAACATCATCCGAGGGCATACGGATCTATTGAACAGTTAGATCGTTTTTTCCAAGTAAATGCTTTCTTGCTTTCGTCACTCCGATGTTCAGTATATGATCGCAAATGATGATAATTTTTTTAGCTCTACTGGTCAGAGACCAGAAGAGCTTATGCGATAGTAAGGTGTCCGTCGTCCGTCCGTCTGTCTGTCTGTCTCTCTAGCAGTCTGTCCGTCTGTAAACAATTTTTCAAAATGCTACTCCTCCTACAGTTTTAGTCTGATTTCAATATAACTTGGCACACAAGTAGTCTACACTAAGATACATAATTCTGTATATCGGTGTTAGATTCCGATGAACGTTGTTGCCATGGTTACTAAAAATAGAGATTTCTGGGAAGTACTTTCAAAATGCTACTCCTCCTACAGTTTTTTTCTGATTTTAATATAACTTAAGACACAACTAGACTACACTAAGATGCATAATTCCGTTTAACGGTTTCTGATTTCAATGAACGGTGTTGCCATGGTAACTAAAAATAGAAATTTCTGAAAAAAACTTTCAAAATGCTACTCCTCCTACAGTTTTGATCTGATTTCAATATAATTTGGCACACTAGTAGACTACACTAAGATACATAATTCTGTGTATCAATTTTTGATTTCGATGAACGGTGTTTCCATGGTTACTAAAATAGACATTTCTGTGAAATACTTTCAAAACCCTACTACTCCTACAGTTTTGATCTGATTTCAGTATAACTTGGCACACAAGTATAGAAGACAGTAAGATACATAATTCTGTTTATCAATTTTTGATTTCGATGAACGGTGTTGCCTTGGTTACTAAAAATAGAAATTTCCTTGAAATACTTTCAAAATGTTACTCCTCCTACAGTTTTGATCTGATTTCAGTATAACTTGGCACACAAGTAGACTACACTAAGATACATAATTGTCTTTATTTATTTATTTTTTTTTTTTTTGATTTTGTTGACTGATGTTGCCATGGTTACTAAAATCAAAATTTCTGTAAAATTCTTTTAAAAGGCTATTCCTCCTACAGTTTTGATGATTGCAATAAATATTGCCACAAAAAGAGACTAAACCAAGGATCATTATGCTATTTATTGCTGTTGCAAAGTTTCAAGTCCAAGTGCTACTTTAATCTTCCTTTGTTATAAGTACAAACCAGTAGAGCTACAGTCTCATCAGAGACTTCTGTTTTTAGCATGCAACATTCCCCTTATTGCTAGACTAAGTGTTCTGTCTTACTTCTGTATAGAACTTTTTTTTCATTCGAATACACAAATTCAATTTAAAATAATAGCCTCAAAATGATCATGTATGAAGACATTAAATTTATACTTCTGCACAAGACTAGTGTCCAAGTATCTTATTTGGTACTTCACCCTTTAAACGTGCAAAATACTGGGAGTCAAACACGCATATGAATGTTTAGCATGATACAGATATAGAATCTTTTACTTGAAAATATGCGGAATTTATGTTCCGTTTATACAAACTTCGTTTGAATCGGGTGTTTGAGCAAATTTTTATATACATCTCAGTTTATACTAGGACCAAAATTTAGTTTTGAGTATAACTTTTCTTACATTAATTGGAACATTGTTTTTAATCTTAAAATTTAAAAAAATTAGAAAACTATTTATGCATGCAGTTTTTAACAGAATCATGTGTTTAGCAAGGTTTTACAATTAACATAAATTTTGGTCTTAGTCCTATTGTAAAACGGACCACTGTCTCTAATATTTTCTGGGTGTCTTAGATCTTTTCCATTCAATGACAAAGGTTTCGAAACATCCTTATGTTAGGGGATAGTATGAAATAAAGATAGGGCATAGATACTGATGCCCCATCAACAGGGAGACGACAAAACAATCAGAAGGTAGATAATTAAAGGGAGTGGCAGAATGAAGGCGAGAAGAGAGGGAGAAGGTGCAAGATTTGCATTTAACCTTTGCGTTAAATAAATGTGAGGAAAGGATTTGCCATATTGATTCATCCAAGTAAAAGATGCATGGCTGTATGTCCATAAAGAATAATTTTGCTCGACTTTTTTGTGAACTTCCCTGTGTTTACATGGTAACTGTACATTCATGTATTTCAATTTTTTCATCTGATAACACCCACCCACCCCCGGATCCTGTGTGTTTTGCTTAAACTTTTGAATCCCGTTCCCTTGACTTTTTACAAACGACCTTGAAACTTACAGTTTTTAGCCCCTTAGCTTGTCATACGTAACCTAGTATTTGTCATGTTAGAACGAGAAGCGAGGACGACGGAGAATGATGTGATTCCTGTACACGTACGTGATCCCAAAACTTTGGGGAAGTGTCGAATTGAGATTGAAATACATGTCTAACTAAAATCTTAATTAACTTGGCAAACAAAAATATAAGCTTTAAATGTAGTTCTAAGCTACATTTATAACCAATTAATTGTGCTGTGTTAAATATCATATTGCTTTGGTCGGTAAAGTCCTTCAAACCCTCCAGCGTGTACACTGTGCATGCACAGTTATTAATAAATTGAAAGTTACTGTTACACATGTGTTAACCGAACAACGACAAGGCTTAACACGTTTCAAAGTATTTGACAATTCATCGATGTCAAAAAATTTTATTACCGACTCACATCTACTTCTTATTCTGAAATATATACTTAGACCATGGACAGACTTGCACCATGAAGATGATTGAGGTCTCATTGCCTGTCGTAAGTGTAATACCTGTACGACATCAAAAATAGGTATAGTCTACAGTGAAAACCATTCAATATGAATTAGAAAAAAATTCTTTAAGCAGCTATAGCTTATTCAGGTACTGGCTTAAGGTACAACACGTTGAAAGCATTCAAAAGTAGTTCGCCAGTAAAGTACTCCAAACTAATATACCAATTATTTCTTTTTACTGCGTTGATGAGATGTCCTATTCGGTATCTCGAATACCAAGTATATGAAGTCCCAACCGCTTTTTTAAAAGTATTTTACCCTCGATATATCTCGAATCATCGGATATCTCGTTTTTCTTGGTCCCATCGAGTTCGAGATAACGAGGTGCGACTGACATTCCGAACGCGGGCATTCAATATCGAACGCCCCGTTGTAACAAAAAAAAAGTCGATTGGTCAACCGCGCTGAACGGCAGTATTTTTGATGAGTAGTGGCAGCTAGGTAAGACGTGTCTATTTTCACACAAAATTGAAATTATCGATTAATATTTATTACCTATAAGCCTCAATAAATACCTCAATTAGCTGATCATAACGCTTTGTAGGTTTATTGGAATGATGTGATATTGAACACTTCCAGGACAGACGCTGATAATGCACAGTTTCAATTTAATTACCGATACTGAAAAATTCTCAGTATCAATTTTGAGTTATTCAATTTAAACATTTAATTTAAATCAATTGGAAAATGTTTTAGTTATATAATAAGAGTTATTGAACTTATGTTGGTGAATATTGACACTCGTTTGCTCTACATACGTATACATGTATGCATTCGCAAGCAGCCAACTCGTGCCAATATTCACCAATATACATGTAAGTTCAATAGCCCTCATGCGCGGATCAAGAGAGGTGGGGGTCAAACCCCCCCCCCCCCCCGGGATTTGGAGAGTTATTAAAAGTATATTCTGAAGCAAATTAAAAATGACTTTGGATCCCCTAGAAAACATGGACCCCACTATCACCACCACGAAATAGATGTTTTTCACCTTTGGGCAATGGATTTTACGGGTTTTTTTTTGTTTTTTGTTTTTTATTTTTTGCTTGTCAAGAAATTTTTGGGTTGGAATTTTTTTTGACTGGGGTGGACCCCCCCCCCCCCGAAAAAATTCCTGCATTTTGCCTGAGCCCTATAATATTAGACTAAGTATGAATATAGTGAAACACAAAACTACATACATATATGGACGCGTTCCACAGGTTCATGTTCCTTTTATTTTAATACAACACGACAAGATACTTTTATGTGTATTGCAAAACATCAATCTGTAGCTTGTCCCTCCCCCTTCACATGTTACTTGAGCCTATGATTAACAAACAAGATGTCTAAGGTTTGATTTTTGTTTGTTCCTATTACATTTGAAGGTTTTTTATTTCCAAACATCCACACCTACATGCACTTTTTCATTATAGTTTGTAAACAGTATATTTCCATTACCCTTTTTTCAATCACTGTCCAAAAAATCTCTGTAATCCTTGTCTAAAGCGGATATTGTCTCTCTCCTGCATATTATTTCCCCTGAGTCTTCTCACATCCCCTCGCATTCTGTTTGTAAATCTAGGAAGTTGTCCGAGGAACCATCGTCTGGATAATGGTAATGGGCTAGGCGAAGGAACTGGGCTAGGGAAAACCACGGGACGACGCATGCGTAAATCGCGTAGTCTTGGTACTGGTGTGATGACATCACGAAATAGGCGGAACCTCCTCTCTGGCAGAGGAGTGGTGATTGGTAGTGGACGTTGATCACGTGAGGGAGAGACAGCAGAGAATGAACCCGAAGTTTGTAGTCTTTGGATTTCATAGTAAACTTCAGAAATATAAGTAAATCCACTCGGTTTTAGAAGAACATTCACTGTTCCACCATTTGGATTTCTGTTTTGGAAGCAAACATTATTTCCGTCTCTTATAGCTGTACAATAAACATAGAGAAATATTGTAATATATCATGCAAAAATGTCATTGAGAAAAAATTCATAATGCTTAAAAGTAATGATCGCACTGCTCTCAAATGAAGAGTTTAAAAGAACCGAATGAGGGAAGGATTGTGATATTGATAAACTTTACAACTTAAAGACTTGATTAAGTTTCTATCGCATAGCTAATTGTCTAGAAAACTTCTTACTGCATACGGTACGTTCAGGGAATTCTATGAAATATACAATATACTTACAGTAACGTCTTCTTTACTTATGTTTTGCAACAATAACAATATATCAATTGTAAAAATCTATATTTTTAGATATAATAATCTTTCTGTCACTATTAACTAGGCCAGCGATTTGACTTCTGAAAATCGAACCACTGCAAGTTCATTTCTCTTCCAAACTTAATAGTTATATTTATTTAAAAACAGCCTTATATTGCCGTTGTAGATGATTGTACTTTTGCATTCCCATAGAAAACTTTAATAGCAATGCTATTACATGTGCCAAAATCAAAACTAAAAAATGCGTGCTTGTCTGTAACAATCCTTTTCTTATCTGCACTTCCGAGAATAAATATTAATTTACCAAAAGATTTTTTGAAAGTACAAATTTGACAGATTTTCATAAATTAGCGTAAATTGTTCTCGGAGAGGATATATTTATTGTACCAGATGTGACCTTTGGCACCCCTTACTTGCACGGGGCTAGGCTTGAGGCGAAACAACATTGCACTTCTCCTTTGCGTCACATCTGACAAACAATAAATATTCAGAGTTGTGAAAAGAAGTGTTTCCATGCGGACAGACTGAACGATTTGCCGTTGTTCTCTTTTTGTAGTTGTTTTATACTTGTATTTCAGCTATGCAGCAAGTAACCTTATTTCTACATGTATGACTTATCATTATTAAGCAATTTAAAAAAAAAATTAGACCCAATTTATCTCTTAGTACCTTAGATTTGTATATACCAATCATTCATTCCCTTAATTGAACACATGACCCAACTCAAAATCTAGATAGTCACAACGTACATGTAATAGCTAAATAAAGATTCACATGTATCTTACGTTGGATTTGTTGCCTAGATGCATCCCAGGCTCGGAGAACCTCATAACGTTTTAATTCCACCAAGCAAATCTGGTAGGGATAATCTCGCCAGAACGAGAGTTGAAGCTCACTACGTGAATACATGACTGAGACTTTCCCGAGATCACACGTTGGATTGACGCTGACGTACGAAGACTGTGATCTTGTCTTCATTCTGCAATTTTTTTTGTAAAAGACAGTTTAAAGTTGATAACTTATAAATTTTCATTTTATTAACGCTGAAATTATCCTTGATATAAATCTGTGCAAATATTCTGAAATAAAACCCAAAATTTGAATTGACGAAAGGTATCATTGTGAAAAATAAAACAAAACTGACAGACGGTTTTGATTCATTTGTTTCTTAATACAGACGTACGTCAGACTTTTGATGTTTTCATGTGTATCCTTGAACGTATTTTTTTTCATCAAAGAAACCAAAAATGAATATATTCACATTGTGCATATTATTCTGGGGCTTAAAAATTAATTTATTTTTTTCTGTATTGATTGATGAGGAGGATTAATCAGATAATTCAATATTTTAACAACAAGTGCATTGTATGAATCTCTTTTGAGTCAACGTAATTAGCCTGTTTAAAGCGATCAATCTCAAAATGTATACAGACTTACTAAAGTCTTTTCATCTTTTTTTTATGTTTCCTTCATACAATTCATCATCAATTATGCACACTCCTTAAATTAGGGAAGGCTAAAGCTAATTAGGTTCAAATGTCTGTAAGTCTTTAAGATTAAAGTCTGTAAATGCATTCAATTAAATTCATTGAATATTCTTTTTTTAAAAAAAATTCTTTACTAATTAAAAAAGGAATTATGGTCATAATTAAGGTGTAATGAAAATCAGATTGACTAATCCATGAGTTTTCCCTGGTCCTTTTTATAGTATTTTTTTAATTGATTTAATGCAGCAATATGTACTTAAGAAGCTATGAATGTACTTTTACTTTATGGTCAAACAGAGAAATACATTGAGTTCTTAGTCTATTCTTATTCTTTAATTTTGTTTAGCAGTAATAAATTACAATTTTTTTTTTACAAGATTTTAAATTAAACTGTAGTACATTGTTGTATATGATAAAGGACTATAGGCGTCCTAAAAGCTGGGTGTGGTCCCTCATTTTTGGCCTAAATAAATTAGCACAATACACCTTCAGTATAATACATGTATATAGTTTGTACTAAAAAAAAGCATATAAAGATGACACCTGAACAATCATATATTATTTTTAATGATTATTTTGATCAATATTATACACAAAGGAAGAAGATTGTTAATAAATTTCTATCAAATCTCGTCAAAATCTTAATACTTGTTGCTTAAAATACGGAATACGCAATATCTGTTTTCTAAAGGAAAAAAAAATCTATTAACAATCATTCATAAAATGAGAATTTTGAACTCTGACAAAAATTGTTACCTTCCAGTAAATTTCGTAGACACTTTACCTATTTCAGTATCCCCACCTTCGTGTACATAAAATAGGTTAAGATAACAAGCAGTGATCGATCTCAAAAAACCTACAAACTAGGGATATGTCAATTTTGTCAATAATTGATATTCGAATATTCAATGAAAGTATTCGAATATATTCGAATATTCGATAGAATTAATAAAATCTGGTTTATTTTAAATATGCATCATCCTACTCTCATGAAAGGTTTAGTGTAGGTATTCTTATATTGGAAGTAAAACTGTATGAAGACTTTTGTAGGTGTACAATAAGGAATTCCATTTGATGTTTTAATTAAAGTTTGAAATAAATAATTGATTTAAATGTAGAAAAATATAATTTTAACAAATGAAACATGTGCATTTATAGTAGGTCCAACTGAGGAACCAGTCATCTTACAAAAAGGCAAGATAGTCGTAACTGTATACTGTTCAGATTTCAATATGTGTAATAAATTACAATTATCTGCCTAATAAGAGATATGATTATAATCTTTGATTCAATGTTTTTAAAATATAATTATACAAATATTTCCATAGACAATTTTCCTAGGTAATTAACTTATTTCCCGATAATTAATATAAAATTCAGCTGCAGGATTATGTACAACCCAAGATAATCAAGTAATTTACACATTTATTCTGAAATTAAGCCCTTTATAATATTAATTAGACTGATTCTATCGGACATTCATTCAATGATCAAGATTAAGATAAGAAAGTAGTGAAAGAAATCAGGCGATCGAAACTGAATTAATCGCTAGTAAATTAAACAGGGATAATTCCAGCACTGTTCTAATCAAAATTTATTAATCACAGTACATGTACTTATTTTTGAAGTCTGAAAAACACCGGATATTCGAATCTTAAATTCATATTCGAATATCAACTCATCGAATGAATATTCGAATGTTCGAATATTCGTTGACATCCCTACAAAGTACAAACAAAACAAATCTACAAACATGGCACAAAACACGGACCCATGGTAATTGCACAGGTACAGGATCAGGTGCCTAGGAGGAGTAAGCATCCCCTGTCGACCAGTCACACCGCAGATAGACCTATATATTGATCAGACAAACGGAGTAATCCATAGTCCAAATTAGTATAAAACAAAGGCCTAACAATTGATAAGAAATATCTCAGTCAAAATACGATCCATTGATAGGTTTTAATTGCTACATGTACATGTAATAAGGTCATTATTACGACTGTAGAATTTACGAAAGGCTAACTTTAAACAAGATCGTTGAAATCTGTAACATCAATTTATTTGTCATTAGCCTGTCCCAATTTCAAAATTTATCGTACTCAGATCATGCTCTTGAGTATCGAATAAGATGGGAGACAAAAACACCATATGCAGATGCTAGATAATGGAAAAGCTGAAGTGATCTCGTTTGTCATACAGTTCAGTTGCTAATTGGCCCTTACATCTTGAGAAATACATCCCCATGACTGTTAATCCTTAGAAAAGCACTTTGTTCCAATCACAAGAGGTATCTAGAAGAGGGACTAGTAGAGCCCTTCTACATGTTCATCTATACTGTACTATTTTTCGAGAACAACATAATACCACTTATGGAATGTGGAATGTTTTGTTTGGCAGAAATCGTTCATGATGATCCAGAAATGTTCAAAATTCAGTGAAGATGAATTAATCTATCCATTTCATAATTATTTCAATGTCGGGCAAACTAATGCTTCTTTAAAGATTGCAAAATTTTTATACATTTCTCGAGATCAAGTCATTTATCTATAAAGGGTTGCATTCCTTTTGTCAGCGTTTTTGAAAAAAAAAAGTTTTATATTTCCCTGTTCATCGTGCTTTTCCAACTAAGTCCAGACTATTTGCGCAGTAAGATTTTCTTGTTCTCGGAATGAGTTTTATTTGAACTTTGAATGGTTCTTAAAATTGAAATCTTGAACACTTGTCTAGTTTGAAATATACAAGCTAAGTTTTATATCGCGACAACAAGGAAACAATGACATCTATCTAAATTTCTTTGATGCTTCATCGGAACATTTTCAGATTTTACATACAATCCCGGACCAAAACAACAAACATTTCTTAACCTTGCACCTGTGATAGCACTTTACCAAAGCTTAGTATGACATCAGGTGCTTTACGCACGTGTATCGTCAGTTAAATTACCAGTCCCATTATTAGTGGACCTCTTTTCGTATTCGTATGAAGTAGAATTTATTTTTAAAAATTTTACATGAAAAGATGAAGTCTCTTGCCGAGGCCAACAATTCGACAATTAGATATATCGATGACGTCCCAACAATGAACAGTAGTTATTTTCATTCATACATTGATTCGATATAATTGAACTGGAAATGAAAAAATATATGAAGTCGGATACATCCGCTTCATATTTGGATATTTTACTAGAGAAATATATTGATAAAACTAACAACTTACGATAACTTTATTGATAAACGTGATGACTTCAACTTTTCTATCGCCAAATTCCCTTATTTATGTAGCAATAAACCATTATCACTTCATATGGGGGTTTTTGACTCCCACTTTATTCGACACGAAAGAGCATGTATTTCATTCGATCATATCTAAAATAAGGCAAACTTCTGACAAATAAATTAATGATCCAAGAGTATCTACAATCTCGTATAAAGCCAATTTTTGTATGGTCAACACAATGAAATTGTTTGCAAATACGAACTGTTGTTTTAGGTCGAATGTTGACTGATGTCTTTCATACAAATTATAGGCCATTATTTACATACTGAATTGACTACGGATTTTATCATTTACCCTATCATGACAAAGGGCACAAGGCAGGTGTGTGACCGGTCGACAGGGATGCTTACTCTTCCATGGCACCCGGTCCTTCGGATGAAGCCGTATAAACTGAGGTCCCGTGTCGCAGTAGGGACTGGCACGAAAAAATCTAGATCCCTCTCTGCTCAAAAAGGCCGTAAGTGCTGTACGCGTGTACAGGCTCCGGGGCCATAAAACCGAGACGAGCTAACTTATGATCTTAGTCTCACTTCTACGAAAGGAATATATAGTGGAAAAGTGAGACAGAGATCAAAAGTGAGCTCGTCTCATTTTTATGGCCCTGGAGCCAGGTCTAAGTTTGTAGCCCTCAACCGGGAAGTGGTGAAGTCTCAATATGAAAATTCTTGAAGGGACGTCAAACAAGCAAACAGACAAATAAACTATTCCCACCTCTGATGTTTTCAGAGGTCCATGTGTGCTAGCTCTGCTCACAATTTTTATTGTTTCATTGAACTTTTGAGCACGGTAACTATTCGTTATCTTCACATTTCTTGTCACAATATAAAAATTAAAAGAATAATTTCTTGATTTTGACCAACATTTAAAATAATTTTTCATATATTTTCAACTTTGATAAAAACATTTAGCTGTAAACAAATTAATACTTTATGTTTAAACTGTGCAGACCTTTTGTTTTATTTTGAATTTGAAGTGTTCCTACATTAAACAGTACGCGCAATCTACGATTTATAACACACTGAAAAAGAAAGTTTACGTACTTATCATCTTGGTAAATACATGAAATTATTTTTAAGTCTCATTTGCTAAACTGCAGTCAGTTGATGTCTTCTAAAAATAAACAACAACAGGACAAGCACTGAGCATAAGAACTTACCCGGCAACTTTCTGTTTACATTGTTCCTGTGTCAGACGTTTCTTCATAGCTTTGAGCGGTGTAGCACAGTCTCCAATCATACAAAGCCCCAAGAGAATTGTTACAATTATTTTTTTCATGTTTAAGATAAACCAAAGATTCAATATGTATTAATTTCTCCTTGAATCATTTATCTCCTGGATTAGAAAACGAAAACTAATTAGAGTTTGGAAATTGTCACTATTTGTAGTTAAATCTTCGTCACTCTTGAATTATAATGAAATAGTGTCTTGTCAAGGTGCTAATTAATCACTGCATACAACGAATACTACACGGAAATCCCATTGACAAATGAAAGACAACAGCGGATGTACACAAAAGTTAGAACAATGTTTTTTGACAAGTCTTTTTTTTCATATTAAGTTTTGCCTCTGTCTTCCACTACGTGTAAAAATATTGGTAAATTGTGACCATATTGTTTAATTAGTGTACATAAAAGTTGACTGTCTTTTTATTAATATTTACATCTTTCCCTCATTTTGCCATGCTGATATAAATATAAAAATATTGATAAATTATGACCAAGTTGTTTGATTAGTGTTTACAGTATTTGATTATCTATTTTTTTTTTTTTTTAGACTGTTTACATACGTCTCTACCTCTTTTCTTAATTTTGGTATGATAGAAAAAGTATGAAAAAGTCGATAACTGTATACATGTGTTATGGCCATGTTGTTTAATTGGTGTGTATGTTAACATTTTACTGCCTAGATTGCATTTTTCTAAACATTTTTGCCTAAATTTTTAACTCTTTCAGTTATTTTGGTATGCTACTGTAGAATAAAAATACTGATAAATTATGTCCCTGTTGTTTAATTACTTTTATATAATATTTGCTTATCTATTTTTTTTTTTTTTTTTAGAAAAGAACATAATAATCATTTTTCATAAACAACATTTGTCGGTGCCGTTCAGTGATTTACTTTTATGTTTTCACATAAACTACAAAGGGGGATTTAAAAAGATATAGATTAGATTGATTGATTGTACATGTATGTTGTTTAATGTCCTTTTAGAGAATTTTTTCACTCATATAGAGATGTCACCATACACCCGTGAAGGGCTTCAATCTCAGACCTTTATTTGGGGACTCAGGGCCATTGAGCAGTGAGGGCATTTAGTTTATCGTGCCAACGACTACCGTGACACGGGGCCTAAGTTTTAAAGGTCTCATCTGAAAGAACCATGACTTTTACTTCAAAGTGTTGAGAGCTTGACCAAGGAACAGTTGCTACCTATTTTTTTTATCAACTTGGGCAAGTCGCTGCAAAGGCTTGAACCATGCAGCGACCTTCCGAGAGCTCTACCGACTAACCTACGGTGACGGTAAATACTTGTAGCAAGTCTGCCTTGACTCACCAGCAACCATATTACCATAGAAAAAAAATGCACTCTAACTTGCAATCTTAAGAGCGTCTACTCACACCAAATTGACAACTCAAATTCGGTTTTATGACAGATAAGAAATATTTCTTTGATACATTAGTTATTAATATGCTGCATTGGAATATTTACAAGGAAAAAAAAACCCGGCGAGTTGCAAAAATTATGATTGTGTGATGCATGTTTTGCTAAGGTTAAAAAATTATACTTGATCATTGTAAGATTGGCAGTCGTACTACAGCTTTTCTATTTAACCTTTTTGTATCTTTGATGATATGAGCTGAACACAGTTTTAGATCAATGTAGGATAAATGCATAAGTAATATATATTTTCTCTTACATCAATTATAAGAGCCGAAGACAACCTGATAAATTAATGTTGATCATAAAGGGACCCTTCAAAAAGTTGTCTTAAAATTTATTGACAATTAATGTATCCTTGTTTATTTTTAGCAGATTAAATTCACATGTTAAAGATTATCAAAATAGTAAGGGGTAGTCTTTAAAGATATACTATGAAAGACATTAGTAAACGAAAGGTTTAGCTAAAAGATTGAAGACATACAGTTGGAGATAATATCCAGATGACTTGTATGATATTATGATATATTATGACCTTTTTTGTATTCATATGAAGCAGAATTTGTCCAAAATCTTATACGTGAAACGAAGAAAACACTTGCTGTGGCCTTCAACTCGACATTTAGATATATCGACGACGTATTGTCAATTAACAATGGTTTACTTATTTCCGTTCTTATGTCGATACGATACATCCCGGTGAACTTGATATAAAAGATATCACAGAGTCTGACTCATCTGTTTCATATTTGGATATTTTACTTGAAAAAGACGTTAATGGTAATTTAAGGACCCTCTACACACCGATGAAAAATGTTTTTTGGACTTTAAAAAAATTATATAACGTAAAGAAGGATATTTTGAAATTAACTAATTCATATTTAATATAGGGAGCCTGCCTTTTTTATCCGGGAAAAATCTTCAAAGACAATGAAGTAGTGATTAAGAAAAATCGCTTTTCCTTACTCAGATGGAGAAAATACATGCAAATAATGTCTTCAACTAATCTATCTTGGTCTAATATAATGTTTAGAACACTTGAATTTATTTTAAATTATGTCATACAGTGCAGATTACAACTTATTCTATTTTATGTCAAGTGGGGGGTCAGTCTAACTACACAAAAGTACCCTGAAATTAGGGTGCAGTGTAGAGAGGGTCCTTAACAACCAAGCTTTATGATAAACCTGATGACTTTAACTTTTCAATCGTCAACTTCCCTTACTTATGCAGCAATATTCCTTCATCACCTGCATACGGGGTTTATATCTCTCAGTTGATTCGATACACAAGAGCATGCTCTACGTACATGTATGTACAATTTCTAAAACGAGGTAAATTATTGACAAACAAGTTGATGAAACAAGAATATCAGCAGTCTCGTTTAAAGTCATCATTTCGTAAGTTCTATGCTCGATACCATGACCTTGTCAGCAAATATAATTTATCATTGATCGAGTCAAATGCCGACTGACGTTTTTCGTACTTATTATTAGGCCATTATTTACACACTGAATTGTCGACGAATTTTTCCGTTATTTCCCGATCATGACAAGGAGCATTGCGGGCTGTGACCGGTCGGCAGGGGATGCTCACTCCTCCATGGCACCTGATCCCACCTCTGATGTTTTGGAGGTCCGTGTTTGCTCTGCTCCTTTTTTGTATCATTTAATGGACTTTGAGCTTGAATACTGTTCGTAATCTCCATATATTTCATCGGAAGGGAGCGTTTATACAATTTTGAAAGAAAATTTAGGACTTGTGAACGATGAATACACCATTCGCTGATAGAGGAACAAAAAGAACATGTTTAGAATGATGAAAGAAACTTTCCAAGGAATTCAAGGGTTGCACTAGGAGGACGTTTTCTAATTTGATTAACCGTATTGGTAGCTCAATCGGTAGAGCGATCGCTCCGTGATCGAATGTTCGTGGGTCCAAACGCTGGCCGCCATTGACCTAAGTCGATAAATTAGGTAACAATTGTTCCTTTGCGAAGCGCTTGGCCCTTTGAAGTGAAAGTTGCAGAAAGTTGCAGGTCTTTCGGATGAGACCTTAAAAATCGATGTCCCGTGTCACGGTAGAGTTGGCATGATAAAAAACCCTCACTACTTAATGGCCTTGAGTGTCGAGTATAGATCTATATAGCCCTTCACCAATATATGGCGATGTCTCTAAATGACTGAAAAGTTCTCCATAAAACAACATACAATACATACAATTTATTTTGTTGACAGGAGGTGAGACATCCCTTACAAAACATTATTATAGTTTACTATAGTTGATACTTTGATTCTTTGACTCACTATAAAACTCTCTCTAGAACTTTTTTTGGAGTGATAGAACTGTTATATTTGTAAACTTAAATTTCAATAATGTAAATTTTTGAAAAAGTTTGTGAATACATATGAAAAATATTTCCTTTCAATATAAAAAAAAATCCAATTGAGGGGCAAAATATTAGTAAAACGATTTGACATTCGTAGTAAAAATCCTTTGATTTACTATTAATAGAAAAATCTTTGATTTACTAAAGTAAAACTTTACGTTATTGTTGATTGTGAATATTGAACAGAAATATCGAATCGAAGTTCATTTGGTGATTGCATGCTAACTCATATCTATAGCAACACGTTTTCTATTCATTTTTTATGATTATTTCTTTCGTACTGTCCTTTACAAAAATTTTGATATTTCTTATATAAAATTTGTACATGAAGTCATGTTGCAGATTTTATTTGATAAAATGAATTTTGTCAGAAAGGACAGAACACTCATATTACATGTTTATCGAATTAATTTGACATTCTTAGTAAATTACTTTGATTTACTATTTATAGTGAAATCTTTGATTTACTACAGTAAAAACTTTGATACTTTAGTTGATTCTTGTTATTTTTTAGGGATTGGTCTACATGTCTGAACCACAAAGAAGGTGAGACAATAAACAATGGAAAAGCAAAACACTGAAACGTCTAGTAAAGACTTTCCTCACATAAAAGTGTTGTATACAGTATTTTATTTCTTGTGGTGAATGCCACACACATTTGCAGCTCGGAACACTTATAAGAATGTGGTTTTATGGAGAATTTAAAAGAATTACAAAATAAAACGACTAAAGAGGCATAAGCGACTTAAGAGGCATATACTTATTAAATAAAAATGTTCCAGCTCATAATAATGTGGTATGTAACATAACTTTTGAAGAAGCTCGTAATCATGAAGGGTGTTAGACGCTATAAATGTGTTAATATTGTCAGGTAAAAAGTAACCAAAATGATCAAGGTAAAAAAGCGAATAAAAATATGGGTTGCAAGTCAAAGCATTAAGGGGATGAAGGACACATGGTCACACGACTGTTTAACTAAGCCATAGTCTCCGTTTATATAAGTGCAAAACATATAACGTATCAATTCTTGTATAATTTTTTGACATTTTTAACTTTATTACCATCTTATATAAAAAAATAAAAAAGTTTTAACATTCTTGTAAACATTAACAAATTATGAAAAAGATTGATCCACTCCTCTGTTTCCCTAAACCGCGTGTCCAACAAGTCGGTAACGTCATACACGATCTGTTAGTACAGCAAAATCATAACTCGGGGAACACAGGGGCGGTATTATTATGTAAAACAGGTCGTAATCAGTATATGATGAACTATTTTGAGAAATGGAGAACACAAAAATTATTTTTGCATGGCTGATGACGGAAATCATATGTAGGTATATCTTATTTCGCTTATTTAGCTTACGTGTGACGTCATAGTAGGTTTTTCCCGTACTCGAGAAATGTAACATGACACGATTTTGTCATGCTTATATCCTCTTTAACGATGTCCTGTGAAATAATGAGGTCAGCTTCATCGTTCGAAATTTTTATAGTTAATCAATAATTTGAAGGATTTGCATTTCAACGTAAATTAAAAGATATTGAATGATAGAATTTTTTGTAAATTACGTTTTTATTGTTTAAGTTGTCTTAAAAAGAGCGTAATTTTCCCTATCCAGATGCAGTGTTATAGACAAAACTTGCTTTTTCGAATCGAATTTTAAATCCTAGTTATACTCTGAAATAATTTAAAAGACAGATGTCAACTTTGATATTTTTTATATATGCTTTAAAAATCCCATTATGGACAGAGTAATGAGCCCGGAAACATGGAGAATTAAAACTCCAATTAGATACGGTAGGGCATAGTATTTGTCAATCAATATCTCCAAAATCAGGTAAGAAACCTAATGATATAACTGCTTTAAGATATGTGGGACATACTTACTTAGAAATATACAAAATATGAAGAAGAAAAAAATTGAATGACAAGTATTTTTTCAGCTCAAGGTCCTTCTCCTCCTTAAGTAAAACTTGAACAGTGTAATATTAAAATGAGTAAAAACAGATACAAAATTATCTGTAACATACCAGCATTTGAGAATGAACTGAGAACTTTTGCCTGAAAACTAAACTTACTCGTAATATCATTGTTGATTGTAAATATTGAACAGAAATATCGAATCGAAAGTTCAGTTGGTAAATGCATACTAACTCATGCAGCAACACGTTTTCCATTCATTTGTTTATGAATATTTCTTGCAATATTTTGTACATTCAAATTATATCGAATTTCTATCATAAACCTTAACCTTATTTCAATAAAGTTGCTTCCGTAGGGCAATTGTTTCATATTACACACTCCTCGTACCATCAGTACCAACAAAACAGTACCCACACAAAAAGGCATAACTAGGACAATTTGACATTTTGGCATACCAAACCCTGAAGCAAAAAATACAAACGATATTAAGACTTGAGTGCACGTTTCTTTCGTAGAAATAAACATTTTGCCATGGATTTAGTACTGTGCATTCCTGTTTTGGTTATGTTATACTTGGGCAATGTGATACCAATGACTGCTTCTGTTAGAATGTGGGATAGAGCTACTGTTGTTTGTGATACCAATAGCAAAAAGCAGTAAGTTTTTTTTTTTTTTTGTTTTTTTTTTTTTTTTTTGTGAAGACAAACTAGGTTTATGTAGAGACCCTTGCAATGTTTTCGGAAAGTGAAATTTAATTTGTGCAGCTTTCCGTTAGCATGTGGGATAGTGTCATTGTGTTTGTTCAATACCAGTAGCAAAAAGCATTAAGTTTTTTTGTGAAGACAGACGAGCACAAGATGAAACACTTCCTTTAAGTTTGGCTTAATGGTGGCTTATAGGTCCTTAATGATGGTTTAATGGTTGTCTTTAAGTCACCATTAAGCACCTTTAAGCTACATTTAAGTAATAAATACACCACCATTAAGTTACCATTAAGCCATCTCAAAGTCCTTAATGGATGCTTAAAGGTAGCTTAATGGTGGCTTATAGGTGCTTAATGGTAGCTTCTAGACAATCATTAAGTCACCATTAAGCCACCATTAAGCCAGACTTATAGGTGCTTAATGTCCAAACTCCATTAGTTTACCATTAAACCACCTTTAAGCCACTATTAAGTCATTATTACGCAGTCGATAAAACTGCTTTTACGGATTAAATATTATTTTTATAATGATTTTTTCACAAAAATTATAAATGTCGAGTTTATACATTTGTTAATTCGGTGAAAATAATCTAAAAGAAAGAAAATTAAAAAAAAATAATAATAAATGATTAAAAGAAACATTCCGCACAGGATTCGATCCCACGACCTTTAGATTGAAGGACGAATTCTTTAACCACTGAGCTATCGAGGCTGTTGAAAATGAAGCGAAATATAAAACCTTTATTTTTATTAAAACTTGTTTGGAATGGTTACAGGTACTTGTACATGTATTTTTTTCCCTGCTGTTTATATTTATTAATCAATAATACGAATAATTATATTTATATATATATACATATATTTTAAAAAAGAAATTTTGATAAAGTTTTATATTACGTTAATAATTCTTAACCGTGGACCGGAGTTCGGTGTGATGGTGTGAAACAACTTTTTGATTTTAAGTAACTGAATTCCTCGTTCTGTTATTCGCAGATTTATAAGCATAAAAAGATTGAAATTCAACAGATATAAGAAAATTTTGTTATTAAAAAGGAATATATCATCGAAAGAGAACGAATGGGAAAAAACAGATTATAGTTCTTATAAATATGCTGCGGATATTTACGATTTTTGACAATCTTTGCGTAACAATTAAATTAAAATATTTTTGTAACATATCATCTTCAGTTTTAATTCTTTTTATTTCATTATGGGTATCAAAGTAATTGTCTTTTTGTGTACAATCATAATTTCTAATTTGTTATATGCTTGCGTAAATTTTAAGTTTTGTAAAAAATAGATCATCAAAATCTGTCACTGTACGTTCCCGTGTATATAGTTTCTTGTTAATTGACCGGGGACTGGTGGGGACACCTAATTAAGGTCTATTGTCTAACTAGGCGATATACTGTACACTGATTCTTTACCCCGCTTCTCAATGTGTATAAATCTGGCCGGATACCCTGTTTAATCTGATCGGCTGTTCTTCTGAAAATTGATTTTGAAATAACAATCATTGAAGACCGACTATATTTTGATCAATTCTTACTTCTGCATTATTTTAAATAAATACTTACTTCTGCAGTATTTTAAAAGAAAGGAAAAAATAATGGCACTTAACCACGAATTAATTCAAATTATTCATGAATTAATTCAATGATTGGCAATATAATATATAGTTACCTTTATATTTTTTTTATATCTTAAACATTTCTCTACCCAAAGAAAAATTAAGAGACTAAGAGATATTCCAGAAGAAAATGACACTAATTGCATTTCCTATGAATTCGGCAGTGGAACGTGGCTCTCCAAACACGAAAGAAAAATATGTGATTTTTTTAAAATATATATTATGTATTTATGGATAAAAATAATTTTAAAAGAAGTAATCAAACAAACTGATTTTAGGGAGCGAAAATTTTAAGGCATTTGGTGAAGCTGTTCTCAGTTCCCGAGATTATACGCATTGACAAAGATGTTAGAAATAGCGAGAAAAAAATTATGAATTGAATTATGAATTGAATAAGTATTTGCGTAAATGATACAGAAACAACTTCAAACTTAACAAGTTAGTTTAAAGACTTGATACTGGATGCGTTAAGGTGGTTTAATTAAGTTTGGACATTAAGTCACCAGTAAGCTGCAGCTTAAAGGTGGCTTAATGGTAGCTTAATGAAGTCTGGACATTAAGCACCTAGAAGCTGCAGCTTAATGGTGGCTTAATGGTGCATGGCTTAAAGGAAATAACTTCTATAAGCCACCATTAAGCTACCATTAAGCCACCATTAAGCGATTGCTTAAAGATGGTCTTTCGTCCTGTGGAGGTTTATACACATCCCCTAGCAATGTGTTCTGTTATTGAAATTCATGATAGGAATCGACAAAGTGGTAATCAAACGTTTGAAAATTTTATCTATAATTGATTTAATAACGGTGTATTATAAGTAATAAATGTCCTTTAGGTTATGTCATCAATTAGTAATCCATGCAATTTTCAGTTCATAAATTATAATAGCAAAATGTTTGAAATAAATCCATAAGCGTCTCGAAGATCTTATGAGGAAATAAGAATAATGATTATAAAACTATATTTAAGAGGAGATATTTACTATCAAATAAACCTATTATTACTTTTTAGTGTGGTTGAGGAAAATTCTGATCGAGTGGTTAACTTAGATGCCAACTGTCAGTCGGGAGAAATAGCATGGAGATACAGTACGACTTATGTGTATCTGAAATTCCGAAAACCATCCCCATTTAAGGTTTGTTTTAGAAGCAATGCCATCCCTGGTATGGAAAAGTACAGCGTTTACAAGATGGATGGATCGCCAACGTACGCCGGAAGTCCAAACCGAGGTAATCCCAGGCAGCATGGCAGGATTCCGTTTTTTCTGTATTTGATAATGAGCAATCAGAAGAATAGGTCTCCTTTGAGACTTTTTTACTAAGAATTAGAATATGGAATTTATATGAATTGCCCATCACGATGATCTAAATTTGCTTAACTTTTTATTTTTTATGATTTACATTTGCTTTGGTCTTTACCTCTTTTTCATAAAAAAAATCTTATTAGAATAAGATACAAAGTTCACACCTCTGTAATTTCCATATTAAATTTTTTTTTTGTTGGAGGTAGATAACAACATATCTAATGTCATAGAAATATAATATTTTTGTGACCCACTAGAGCTTTGATACTTGTTGGAAATTTGGGGTAAAAATTCATTGTTCCAAAGATATTATATGAAACGGTATCCTGTTCTTCAATTATAAACAGACTCTAATACATTATAACGAAGGGTGATATATTATTAAAATGCAAATGTTCCTATATTGGAAAATGAACCAATTTTAAAATAATCAACCATCCATTCATTTTCTACGAATAAAGTGAATAAAGATTCAGTGGAATTCTTCATCGTTTAAAAAAAGGAGAATGACCTTCAAATTAGAAAAGGGACAAAAAAAATTTTTTTAAATGATGTCGATGTATGGAAAAAAAAAATAGTGTTCGTCTTATGTTGCAATTGTAAGCTGACATTGTCATGATCAAAATAAAATTTATAATTTATGTCATGAATACATGAAATTGAGGGGTCTTATTGATTTAATTTCAGATCGTGACATCTGTGTGATGTCCTCGGGATTAAACCTTGACATAGCGTTAGAAGCCTTGGATACATTTTATGTACTAACTGCCAACTTCAAAGTCAACTGTGTCTAATTTTGATGAGTTTGTGTAGGAAATACAAATAAATCTATATGTTGTGTTGTTTGTTTGTTGTTTTTTTTTTATCTCCAAGTTGTTGTTTTTTTTCTTTCTTTTTTTTGTGATAAGACTGTTCCTTATCCTGCCGCCGAAATATCGCTGAAATATTACCGAGTCGACATTAAACAATAAAACGCCAATCAAATCTTAATATTTACATTTAATAATGCTTTGTCCATTATAATCATACCAGTAACTTTGATAATGAGACCGGTGTGACTTATGTGTACAATTAATCACTTAGGCGAAGGGACACCAAAAGCAGATGGGTACCAAAAAAAAAAAAAAAAGAATTTCGTTTAATTAAATTACATTTTATAAGGTCTAAGTGTCTTTTTTCAAAATTTCTTGTTTTTAAGGGGAATTACCAGTCTGTTAATTACGAGTTAATGGGAAAGTTATCACTTCACTGTAATGAAAATTAAATACATACAGGTATGCTTGAATTTTATTTAACAAACGTGGCATCATTCAGAAAAAGTGAAGAATACTATTCAAGTATTTCTAATTTAAGGTTCATTTAAATATATGTTTATTTAAAAGTTACATTCCCAAACATTTTTCCTCAAGATTCTTTGCAAATAAGAAAAAGTTCATGTTCTCATGAACTACCGTTGGATAAGTAAGAATATTTCCATTGTGATGTGATTGGAGTAAAAAAAATAGTGTAAACTTCTTTTTTAAAAATGATCGTTGAATGACAAAAATATGTGGCAAGTCATCAGAAAAATAATGTAAAAATAAGATATGAATTTAATTTTTAAGAATTCATGAGGTACATGAACTACAATGCTTCACGCTTGCATATTTATCATGAAGTGCTAACGCTAATTCATCTTGATCTTTAAAATATTTTTGGAAAGAAAATACCTTTACTTCAGATTGAAATCTAACTTTCCTTTTAGATACAGTCATATAAACCTTTTGATCTCGTTGGGATTATATCTTTTATGTAATTTTGACCTTGTATCGCATTAATATTTCTTTTCTTGCAGAAATTGATCATTTTCCCCCTCTTTCTTTGTTTTTACATCCCAATCATACTCTAAGATTAAAAAAAAAGTTTTATACTTCAGAATGATCACCTTATAATGAAACATTAATGCTTCGTGTAGAAATTCTTCAATAAAAAAAATTACAAAATGGTTATAAAGCAGTTATCTCTCTTTTTACAGTATGATATTTACATTCCCCGCCGCCACCCCCACCCCCAATAAATAACCGTTTTATTTAATAAGAAGTCTTATTCACATAATAAGAAATAAACAAAAATCTTAGAAGACAACTAGGAGAGGAGACATATTGCTTGGGGAAAAAAAAACTGTCACAAAAGTATAGAAATACAGAATTCACAGAATAAGATAAAAAAGTTAACTTTATATAACTGATTCTAAACATAGCAATACCAATGAATGTATGAAGTGGAAACATAAAAAATGATCAGCTAGACATTGGACTAATAGCGCAATGTATGGTCAACTCGAAAATTAAAAACAAAACATATATACTAGCAAATTACATGTATAATTTAAACTAATTCATATAATCATTATGCATTATTTTTTTTAAGATAAAACATTAAAGATGATAAGGATAAGGTTCACGAAGAATAACGAAGTATTTTCAATTTTGAAAAGAAAAATCATTATCTTACATGTAATGCTCATTTAATGATCACCATTATTACCTAATAATAAATGTAACTTTCCATTTTTTATGAAAATATAAGAAATTTAATGGTTATTTGAAATCTGATTGCTATTTGGAAAAAAATATGCGATGCAAATTACACGAGCATATGATCCACAATTTAGCATGACAACAAATTAAAGGAACAAAGTATAATTTTTAATTGAACCATTTACCAAACTTCTACTCTTCAAATTCTGTAGAAGCTTTTACACTTGTTATAAGTTTGACCGCAAAGTATGAAACAGCAGGATGCTTTAATTTTTAAGATTAATTAAAAAATACATTTTAAATTTCTTCTGTAAAAGAGACGAAATGTTGAGTGAAATGTATGGAGATAACTCAAGTTCAGAAGTCCATTAAACAATACAAATTTTGGAGTAGAGCAAATAAGGACCTCCAAAACATCAGAGGTGGGATCAGGTGCAATGGAGGAATGAGCATCCCCTGCCGACCGGTCACACCCGCCATATGCTCCTTATCATGATCGGGTAATAACGGAAAAATCCGTCGACAATTCAGTGTGTAAATAATGGCCTAACAATTAGTATGAAAAACGTCAGTCAGCATTTGACTTAATGATAAATTGTATTTGCTGGCAAGGTCATTGTATCGACCATAGAACTTACGAAAATATCATTTATACGTTTAAAAGCGTCTGCGATAAAAAAAAAAAAAGTATTGAGATGCATGTCTCTCATATATATGAGTGTATTAGAATGTTTGATATAGCATTTTATCGAACCTTTTCAGCATTTTATGGGAAATCTGAATTTACCCTTAATTTAGGATTATTTATTTGGAATTAATCAAATACTTGATTGAGAGCTGCAGGGAAGATGTTGTCAACCCGAATCAGATTATGTTTTCTCTCGTTTGAAATTTGATGAGACGAACTGCACAATTGTAAATAGGCCTGATGTTTGTTAAATTTAAACCTAGTTAATAAAAACTTGATCGACATCGTATCATTGCGGCAACCTCACAAATGTTTTGAACTGAACACGTTCTGTATATATTATCTCCAAAGATTTGAAGTACACTGTACTTGTATGTAAAAACAAAGCAAACTGGAATGCATTGACGTTTATTTTTTCATTTTTTTATACAAAAAAGTAAACAAATAAAAAGTAAACATAAGAATATAATGGCTCCTGTTACAATAAATATTTTGCTGATTCTTCAAGAAAGCATTGGTATTTAAATACCACTTTGTAGACTGACACATCAGATTGCATATTAAACTGGGCATTCTTTGTCGGGTCATTGTGTTGGTGGTGGTTAATTTACTTCCGGTCAAAATAACAGGATCAGTCACCGGGATTGTTGTTTCCAGACTGCTTCAGGTCGTCTGGTTCATTCAGTGTCCTACAACATGGCTCCTCAAGAATTGCAATGAACAGTAAATTTAGCTCTCATGACGTAAAAGGATTTTTTGGCCTGCACTATTATGTCCAACCTATTTCCAATGGAATTAATACAGGTCTTTTTGTCTGCAAAGGAAAAAACAAGATTTATTACAAACTGTGACCTAAATGAAATATGATAGATTTATTGTTTTTCGTTGCGGTAGAGTAATTCATGACCTAGCTCAATCTACACGTTCTCTTTAAACGATTGAACGGTAAATATCTCCAAATATAAATTGACATGAACTGTTGATATAAAGTGTATTAAGATATCATGATAGATGTTTTAACATAGAAAAATTACCTATCTTTGCAAAAAAGAAATACTCACACATATTAGGACTTCCAGCGTACATATTTCCAACAGAAGCATTAAAAACGTGATATTTCTCATAATTGACAGGTGTGTTACTGCTGAAACACACCGTGAATGGCTTAGGTCTCCAAAATCGGAGGGCGACGTAAGATTGGGTCATTCTCCAGGCTACTTCTCCTTGATTACAAGTCGGAGGGACAAGAAAATATCGATTGGAGTCCTCCTCTAGGACACTACAATAAAAACAATCTGCTATTAGACAAAAGAAAAGAAAGACAAAATTGTTATAGAGCTGGTCGTTTTGTTTCAAAATTTGCAATTAATTTTGTTTATCAAAATTTGCATACAAAGTAATTTTCTCTTCGAGTAATGTTTTTGTAAATAAAATAATTTAAAATTATTTTTATATGCCTTTATTCATAATATTTGAAACAATCATTCAGGGCTTTTAGAGAAAAAAAACTGGACATGTTTTTTTTTTTTTTTTTTTTTTTTTTTTTTTAAAAAACGATGCTTTTATTTAAACAGCTATCAGCCAAAATAAAATTATTTATTTTATAAATAAAGTGAACCAGAATGAAATTTAGAATTTAAAATTCTTAGAACTTTAATAGGGTTCTTTTAAACATACTGAAAAGATATCTTCAGAATTTGCATTCAAGGATGATATGCAATTAATAGTATTTAAATTAAAAACAAAACTCACTGTTTCCCAGAAATAGCAGCACAAACAAGAGAAGCACGGTCCCATAACGGCACAGACAGACATACTGGAAAGATTAATATTATAATAGTAGGTACAAAGACACGACTAACTTCCATGATTTCAGTTATAATAGCTATAATATTAAGAGATGTTTCTCTTTTGCTGCAAATATTTTTTGAAGATTTTCAGTGCAGGCCACTTTATTTAAGTAGATATTCTACGTCACAGTGACCGAATCACGTGGGCTTCAATTAAGGACTGCCCGTATAGAGGTGTATTATCGTTACCTCATAAAAATAAATAATAAAAACGTATAGGTCATGTTGTTGTGCGCTAAGAAGTTGTCATCACGCACACATTTCACATTCAATTGTGAAACGTCAGTCTAAGAATGTCAAATTATGAATACATTATCGTGATTTAACTGTTTGTTTGTAATAAGCTCACAAGCTTAAGATGAAAGAGTCGTGTGCAGCGTTTATTTTCCAGAAATAATCAAAATTTATCTCAAAATTGTACTAGGAGTAACCAATCAATCCAACTGGGTTTTTCATTTTTATTTCAAATACTGATATAAAACATTTTAATTTATTAATTACATTTTAATATTCAATTTAAGTTTATGAAAAGGTAATATTAAAAAAAATTATAAAGATAACTGAAAATCAGAAATGGCTATATAGAATAAAGTAAAGGAGGTCTAAAGGACTTAGATGAAACTGTGATATTTTTTAAGACAATAATATGATTCTAATTATTTTATCAGGACAATTTCACATGTTTCTGAGAGGATTCAGTATAAAAAAAAACCTTAATTTACCTTTGAGGGAAATATTTGAATATTGGTCTGCAAAAAGCTTGCAGCAACTACACTACGACAGTCATTTATTTTAAATACGTTGTCATTTACGACATTACATAAGCTATCATTATCTTGTATTAAAAAAAAGCTTTTTGTAATTAAGTATCGTTTAAGAAAAATTAAACAGTAATCATGAAAAGTATCAAATTAAAAGTGAAATTATCTTCATTATGTAGCGAGAATGGTTTTAGCAATGTAAGCAAAATCGGATTGGACACTATTGGATATCAATGTAGGCAATTTCCATAAGAACATTTGCAATTTGAATCATAATGTGTCTGGAGCATGAGCTTTTTAAAGTCGAACATACATACATGCATGATATCATATATATATATATATATATATATATATATATATATATATATATATATATATATATATATATATATATATATATATATATATATATATATATATATATATATATATATATATATTGTATAAGCGCCTATTTTTATTTGGTTTTTATGGGAAAAATGTATAATTGAATAAATTGTTCAGAAGTCAGTGATCGCTCGATATGTAACTTTTTAAAATCCTTTCAAATAAACTTTATCAACTTGGTACGATGCACAATTTATTCTAATATGACATTTAAGTTCATTAACAGAATTATGCGCAAATTTTAAACTGACAATTATAGTCTTTGTTGAGTTTGACAGTCCCTGTTTTTTTTTGTTGTTTGATATGAATGCACAGATTACAAACACATTTATACAATTATGTTGTGGTTGGTCCATTAAGACATCAATGACATAAAATTTGACAATGTACATGTTAATATTTGTTCTGCATGTGTGTTTACCAAATGGATGATATTCATACAGAAACGTATATCTGAAATCGTGAAACTGTTTTAATAAAATTGTGTAAAATGCTACATGCTTTTAAATTGTTTGAAGTGCAATAAATGTGACAAATTACAATCTTGTTTGTTCTTTATTGCTCTATGAAATAATCCCGCCCAAATGAACAATTAAAATGAAGTAATGAGGCTATCATAGCAAGACAAAGTAATTGATGGAACTATTTTGCATTATGAATTTGAAATAAATAAACATATTACACATCCTGTCATTTTTTATGCTCACCTGAACCGGAGGATCAAGTGAGCTTTTCTGATCAAAATTTGTAAGCATTTTACAAATTCATTTTCTTCTCCAGAATCACTCGGCCACTTTCAGCCACAACTTGGCACAGATTATCCTTTGGTGAAGAAAACTAAAATTTGCTCAATTGAAGGACATGCTCTCTTCCACGGGACGATTATGAAGAAAAATAGGCTAGGGTTCATTTAAAAATCTTCTTCCTAAGAATCACGGGGCTAAAAAAAGATAAAACTTTAAATTTTGTGAAAACGTCTGACAAAATGTGCAATGAGCCATGAGCAGTAAAATCTTTATCATAGCATCCTTAGGTAGTGTAGAAACAAATTAATTCAAATCATGACTACTGGGGTCGGGTAGGGCTACAGAGGTAATCAAAGGTTAATAAGAGTACTAGTATTATGAAATTAAGGGTACTGGTGAAGAACAAGAAGGGTCGTAGTTACTAAGGTAAGTGTTGTGGCCCATGTGCCTCTTGTCTAAGAATAAAACCACTGTATTGACGTTACACGTCAACTCATCTCTGTTTAATCTTTTAATATTACTTTCATTTACTTCCTATAAAGATTTTTTCTTCACAATGGATACACTATATGCTAAGGCAACAATAAAACTAAAATCTCTACAATAAAGTCTTTTTTCCTACTGCTAACAAACCGATTTCTCATAATGTTTTGGATCACAAGTGTCAGAAAATCATTTCTGTCTAATATAAATCATATACGGTACCAATTTGGATGCACCAGATGCGCATTTGGACAAATTATGTCTCTACAGTGATGCTCATGCCGAAACGTACGTTGGAAATCTGAAATATTTAAATAAAGAAGACTTATATGGTCAAACTGTTATTATTAAAGTTTGTTACAATTTAACATTATATATTATTACTTATGTATATTTTACTATGACACACAATCCACTTTTGATGTTTGATATATTGACTTAATGCTATAAAATGTATGTCTTGGGCAATAAAGATTACATATTTATAATATCTAAGGATCAGAACTTTATCTTTTAAATAAAACAATACAATCTTCCTGCCTATCAAAATTTTCTTAATCACGAAGAGTTATATCTTGCAGGTCGATTGATGTAAAAATTGATTTGGAAGTACAATAAAATATTTTAAGTATTGGCACAGTGTATTATCTCTTAAACTTCTGGTCTAAATATTTTTACGCAATATCAACCTAAAAATATAAATTAAGACGCGCCACTTTATATTTCTGTGTAACATATTTCAGACTTTTATTGCACTGGGGTGATTCATGTTGCAAAAACCTTATATTTGTAAAATACTAGGCCTCAAAATGATATTTCATATTCAATTTGTGATATTTAGCATTGTTCCTTTTTTATTGAGAGTTATTTTCCAAGTAGGGAGGCTAAAACATATGCACGTGGTAATTATCGTTTTTATTTATGTAATGTATTCAACTTGATACGCTTAGATGACATAAATTATCTTCCAAACTTAAATGTGCATTTATTAAACATGCATGATCTTGGGCCTCCGAAAAGTTAACAAAATGACTCCGTAGAATAAACCACTCTTACATTCAACAGCACTTATACTTTTACAGATTTCATCACATTTGGTATTTAAAATATATGAAAATTGAGAAATTAAATCAAAGATGTACATAATATTCTGTAAAAGCCCCCTAAACAATTGTTTCATTTTTAAAATTGTGTATAAAGTTCCAAGGTTACAATATGTTTCTAAAATGACATATGCATGTGTTCTTTAAAAGTACTGAAGGTCGCGGTAATGAGCTAAAATCCTGGGACCATATACAGCAAGTTTCTTAACTTATAAACTTAAAAAAAATTCAAAACACTTTTAGTGTAATTAACTGATTGTATAATTATTATGTGATAAACTGCAAAAATCTTAAAACATGACATATCGACAGCCAAAACACCAAAGTCTTAATTGATGGAGGCAAATGGAATACCCGTTGGAGTAGAACAAATATGCTTGATTCAAAAATAATTTCTGCAACAAGATCTTATAATTGTGTTTTCAATCAATCGAAAAAAAAAACATCTTGATTCATTAGAAATTCTTATGTAGTATATGCAGTATGTAAGTTAGTTTTCTAATTTGTTTAGAATTTGTCCATAATTCTTAAGCGCTTCTTAACCTTTAACAAGAGAATGGTTTGCCAGATAGTAAACGTAAAATAATAATCTATGATTATTTCTTCACGTCAACTAGGAAACTGATAGAGAAGGTATATTTTGCCTTTACAATTCCCATATTATTATTATTTTTTTGTCTGATATTAAAATCCTGTCTTTGCAGGCAAAATATATTCAATTTTTTTTTCTATTATCCTTCTGGCCTTTCTTTATAATGCATTAATATGTATACAGGATAAAACATTTTTTATATAATTTTGTTTTATTATTGTTTTCTTGAATCTTTACATGTAATTAATTTTTTTTTCCTTTCTTAAGACTCTCTAACAGATTTATCATTTTTTAACTTTATCCTCATTTTCATTTGAAATTAGTTTTATTGCAAAGTAACAGCCGAATAAGGGTTTAGTCATAGTTCTTTTCTATCATCCAGGATATAATATGCATAAATTGGTTGTCCGAATAACTTTGAATTATGGCATATGTTATGTTTATTCTAATTTCCATAAAAGTTTATGTTTTAAGACTTTAAGATATATAGGTTCAAATCTTTGCCTTACATAGCTATTATAAAAGCTTAAATTCATAAAATGGTTTTAAATAGCTGAATGGTTATTTATCTTAATAATATGTGTACTTTATTAGAACTACCAAAACAGATGGCACCTTTCTATATTAACCTCTACCAAAGAACTGGAATGAGTGTATCATTTAGTCATACTGTTCAATTTTTCTGTCTATATGTTCGTACATATAGAAAACTAAAAGCATAATTCTAATGAAAAGAATAGAAGGCCGAAAGAATGAATATATTTGGTTAAACTTACATCTACATGCAGTTCCTAAATATTTTGTCGACTCGGACATGTATCATGGATCAGATTCGTTTTGCATTCATGTTTAAATTTTTAACTTTTGAAATAATAATCGATGCGTGCTCTGTGTCTATTGAAACAGCTATGTTATAATAACTTTCTTGAAGCCAATTTTTCCTGTACTGTAGAATTTACGGACTATTTCTATATAGTTTTTAAAAACCTTGATAATACACGTGTTTTCAATTGTTTGCAGCGTCTGCTCTAGAGTCGCATGAGTAAGGAGTTGATCTTTACGTCGCGGGTTCGAATCCACTGCAGGACGTGGAGACCGGTCCTTGCGATGAGACCGTATAAACCGAGGTCCCGTGTCGCCGTAGGTGCTGGCACGAAAAAGATCCCTCACTGCTCAATGGCCCTAAGTATTGAGTATAGGTCAAAATTTGTAGCCCTCCACCGGCAAGTGGTGGCGTCTCCATATGAGTGAAAAATTCTCGAGAGGGACGTTAAACAACAAACAAACAAACAAAATCAATTGTTTGCAAACTTCATCAATTGAATAGGCGTATGATCTTGATACCTTATACATTGTATATACAATAATCAGAAAACGTTTATTATGTTCCCTATCAAAGACATTGATTAAATGACATAAAATTGTCTGAAGTATAATTTTATCAATGTTTGTAAATTTGGCTCAATTATAGCTCATTTCCCTCTATGGTGGAATTATTAGATTTAAGAGAATTACAGCCAAGTGCATCTGTAGTGCACGTTCACTCTTCGAAACAATAAAAAAATTAGAATTGCTTTACTTACATTTCAAGTACACATCCTGGAAGGCAACTTCAAGATAGTTACTCCCCCATATTCTGTACAGGTGAATTGGTAGGACAGTGATTAGTAAATAATTAATGGAGTGTCACCAGTGCTTATGAACTAAACACCGTCAGCGGACAGGAAGCAATATTACATTCATGAAATATGACAACAGATTTTTATCCTATGAATGGACTGCGAGAGACAATATTGTGGTCATTATACAGTCAGTGTCAGGAAATGGGACTGGGCTTTTTTTATTTTCATGCTAAATAATTAGGAAATGCTCCTGTACATAAGATTTTTGTATATTGAGATGTCTTAGGTTCTGTCGCAAGTACATTTCTTTCTCCTAACTGTAGTTGTGGTCAGTTAGAGGATTTTTTTTCATTATTTTGTTTGTAAGAGATATATGAATGCATAAAAAATCTCTTTGACAAACGTTTAGTCGGGAAGAAACAATCTTAATAGACACACGTTAATTGCTTTTGAGTTATTGATTGACATTTTTCATCGTTCATATATATATATATATATATATATATATATATATATATATATATATATATATATATATATATATATATATATATATATATATATATATATATATATATCATTTGCCATACCACTCATTATGTAAATGTTAGTATGACAATTGTATTAACTTTACTAATAGCGGGTGAGGAACTTGTAAGTTGAGAGAATGAAGAAAAGAGAAGATAACGATCTAAAAAAAAAAAACTACACACAATACAAATCTGTGAACAATGCATAAAACACGAACTCCTGAAAATTCCAAAGACGGGAATAGGTGCTTAAGAGGAAAAATGATCCCCTATGGACCGGGTATACTTGCTGTGAGCCTTTTGTATTGATCGGCTGGTTCAAATATTCCGTAGTCAAATTTAGTATAAAACCAAAGGCCTAACAATTTGTATGAAATATGTCAGTCAAAAATCGACCAAATTATAGGCTATTAGCTTACTTTTTATCTTTTAAAAGTTCTTTTTTTTAACACGGTCATAATAACGACCAGAGAATTTATGAAATTATGACTTTAAACGAGATTCTTGAAATCCCTGTAACATCAACTTATCTAATGTTAGCCTGCCTCGAATTCAAAATTGATCTTACTCAGATGATGATCTTGAGTAACAATTAAGTTGAAAGGCATGAACACCATATGCAGATGTGGAATATTACTGTATAAATAAGGAAAGTATACAAATGTAAAAGTTAAAGTCATCACGTCCTATGTTTTCAATTCTGTTATGTATTGCAAAAATATGTTCAAATCGACAGATTTAACAATTAAAATATAACGTCTTTGAATTTTGCTCCAGAATCGCATTGAAAAAATCCTTGTTCATAAATAAACTTTTTATCAAAGTTTTTGTTATACATTTTACTGCTTTCCATTGAGTTGCCTAAGAGATTCATATCTGGATATGATAGTTAAAAGATATAAGGAAATTCCACATAGTTCGTTTAATAATAATTTATTTGATATAAATAACTTTAGTATCTTTATTAGGTATAATAAGAAGAAGGTCACCACCTTGCAAATCAACATGACATTTTACATCGCATTTCAAGTTATCTAGAAACATAAATGTACATTACACAGAAATTAAAACAGACATTGATAACATACCTAATTATAAATAGCTTAATTTACAGACGTGTGACAGGCATTAAGTTGACCCATTGAAGGTTCCATATCTAATAAAGATTAGATTTAAGGGCACGAATTTCTTTGACTGCATTCTAAATCAAGAAACACTTAACCACGTGTTTAATTGCTTAAATATATCAAACCTGATTTAATGACAGAATACTACTTGAATAGAAAAGACATTAAATGGAGCAATTCTTTCACCCTTTCCCCTCTTTTCCTGAGAATTGCTTTTTATCCATAGTTATATATTTTGCTTATTTCAAATAAAATGCTTTATTTGTAATTGAAATAATATATGATTAACCTGGAACCCTGGAATATAAACAATTGATTGCAATTTAAATAAGTATTTTGTATGTACATGTACGTGTACAACGTTTTTCATTTAAAAAGGTATTCTCATGAAGAGATTTTTAAAATTATATAGAAAATATAAAGTAAAAAATATAAACATTTATTTTTAAAAAATCAATGCATTTTCATTTATCAACTATCACTAACAACAAGCAAGATAAATTGCTTAGATAACTGTAGTCAATCGACATACAAATCGATAAAACTGATAAAATTGATTATGCTTTCAATCTTTAAAATAAACAGTATTCTTTCTTGCAAAATTACAGAAAAAATCAGAGTAATTGAAAAGAACATTTCAATAGACCTGAAAGAAAGGAAGAAAGAAAGAAAGTTTGATTTTTTTTCTCGAAATATCAAATTAAATTTTTATTCTAACCCGTACCAATACTGCAAAGATAGACGTTGCCAGCAAATGAAAAGTATTCCAGAACTGCTTTTATCAGATTAAATGGAGTTAATGAAATGTAGAATGTTTTATTGACAAATATAACCAGAAAAATAAATCTTTTATTTACGTTTGTAAAAAAAATTTCTAGCTAACTTAATTTACGTTTATATTCTGAAACAAAATACTGTAGACGGAAAGATTCTCGATTTTTTTGCGCTTGACGACCTTTACCTTTTATCGTCTGCCGTTTAACATTGTTCACCCACGCGACCTGTCCGAGGAGTGAAAATTATAATTCAGTCACGATTTATTTACTCATTCGTACGTTTGCGTATGTTTTTACTCTCGATATGTTTTGAAATTTTAAAATGACGCGTTCGAACAGTATATAAATATGTTCTTGTGTCCATTATTCCATCATTCTCTCAAGATACTTTCCTCTAACTAAGAAAACCTGAATAGAAATATTCTTTACAGTCATGTTTCCGTTGGCCATTTCCACAGTCTTTGCTCTTCTTGCATTGTCTCAAATGAACGCTATTTTAGCCGTTACTATCTGGGATAGAGCCAGTCTTGTATGTAAAAATGTGGATGGAAAACAGTAAGTATCAAGTAAAATTAAATCAAGTAATTAGAGTAAAAGTAAATAAAGTAATTATTTTAAAGTAAAATAAAATATTCATTTGAAATGTTAGAATAATAATAAAATTGAAGGTACAGTACATGAAAATTTAATTAGATAGTGACAATTCTTCTCTAATGTATCTGCTCATTCAAATTCAACGTTTTGGTGGAATTTATTTATTAGAAAAGATCCAAAAATAATTTTGATTTTAAAAAGTAGGTTAAGTTGATAGTTTTCAGTGGTCTGTATAGAGGAACATTACTAAATTAATTTCGGACTTTAATTAAGAAAGAACAATTAATTACAAAACGTGACACTATTGATATGCTTAATTAATAATTGAAATAAAATGCTTCTTAACATATGTCTGTATCTCTTTGATTCCACTCTTAGAAATGAATTCGCTATTTACCTTGTAGTTAAATGCATGAAATTGTTTGAAACACAACTATAAAATTTTATTGCTACCAAAACTTTTAGGGTTTTTTTTTTCAGAATAATTGACCAGGACTCATATCGCAGCTTATATGTTGATTCTGCGTGTTCATCGGGAGAGATAGAATGGCGCATGACCAGAACTATAGTGGCTTTGCACTTTCGAAGACCTTCAGCATTTGCTGTGTGTTTTAGTAGCAAAGCACTCGTGGGTTATGAGAAATTCAGTGTCTACAATATCTCATTTAATAATATGTTCGTTGGAAGTCCAAATATCGGTGAGATTTTGTTTTTAAAAAGTTAATACCGCAGATGCTTCACTTTAGAAAGTAATATCTATTAAACTAGAAATAATTTCACATTTCATTAGAAGTTAATAGATAAGACAGATTGAGAAAATATTCGTAATAATTGCAATGTTACAAACCTGTATAAATAAAAAAGTGAAAAAGATATTTTTTGAATTTGTATTATTATTATAATTTTCTTAATCTTCTTGCATTTTTTTTATAGAAACGGAAGTATGTTTAAACTCTGTGGGAAACGTTTTGGATGTGAATTTGCTATCCCTTAGAAAATACTTCATCACGAAAGCTTACTTCAGAGTAAGGTGTATCTCCTGATGACATACCTAACAAACTCATGATTATATCCGTCCAAAAGCCGTCCAATGACCACAAATGCTTACCTGGCCTTTTCCCCGCTGTTAACATATTAAGGGCTTGGTAAAAAAACTTATGTTCAACGACCAGGTTAATGATTTTCTGTTTGACCATACTTTCTTCAGATTGGCTCACTACGCGAATTTTCCTTCATTTCGCAGTCAGTTTGTGTGCTACATAATAGTTGTATGTGAAAGTGATAGAAAATTTTGTTAATAAGCACAGAAACTTGTCTCTGCAATCAGTAGTTCATAAGTGATCTTAATGTATGTTGTGATGTCATGAATTCTACATATTTTTCTTTATGTTTACATAACCTGCAATATATTTTTTTATGTTTTTAATAAAATAATCTTATATACTTATGTACTTGTTCGCCATTTCATATATATATATATATATTCTTTAATGAAGATGTTTAATTGTTTATATGCCTTAACTATATCATAATATTATAATTTTACTCACATTCACATTCTAATATTAATATTTCACTCAAATAAACAAAAATTGGTCTAAACCTGTCATTTAATTCTTCTTTTAACTGAAATTTGGTTAAATGTATGTCCTATATTTGTTCTTGGTTTACAACAAGTATAAAACATTAATTCATGTTGTTGCTCTTCAACAAGTAAAATAATAACATGTTTTCCCTGAGTGCTAAGTCTTTTTTTTTTCTTCTAATTATTGGCCGTTATTAACACGAAGAAAGAACAATGGATATGTATCATTGTGAAAAAGTTGAAGATGAAGAACAATGTTGATTAAAAAAAAAGAAGCTACAAACAATACAAATCTTTGAACAGGACATAAACACAGTCCTCTAGAAACTACCGTGGTGGGATCAAGTGCCTGGACATATGATATTTAGAAAATATGGCATTGGTACATGTAACATGAATTATGATAGAATTATCAAATCGAAATTTGTTAAGAAATTAATGCCAGTTTTAGGCAGGCTACTGATAGATAATTTTTTGATGTTACAGGGATTTCAACAACCTCGTTTAAAGTCCATTTCGAAAATTCTATGGCCGTAATGATGGCCTTGTGGGCAAATATACATGTAACCTGTCGTTTGGTCGTATTTTGGCTGACTTAATTGTTTCATACCTATTGTTAGGCAATTGTTTTTTATACTGAATTTGACTAAGGAACGGTTTCCCACAGTGGGATTCGAACCCGCGACGTAAGGATCAACTCCTTACTCCGCGACTCTATAGCAAACGTTCTAACTACTGCACCATGTAGGCGACTGACAGATTTGTATTTATTTTTTTTTTTAGATCGATCCATGTTTTTTTCGCCATCTTTTCCATTTAAGTAACAAATCAATTAAATTCGCTTATATGTAAATAATATTACAAAAATTGTCAAGATTATATACTCTAGTACCTATTTATATCAACTATACAAACATGATATAATTAATACAGTATATAAAATGGGTTCGAAATCCACTAAATATCTTATAAGTATATTGTTTTGATCATACTCACATTTACCATATAATGAAGAAGCGATTCCAGATTTTCAATTATATATTATTCTGAAAATAGTTGTAAGTAAAGTCCTTGCCGTTTTGTTTCCCTAATCTGAACCTTTGTAAAATATCTCCAAAAAATTTCCACTTAATGAACGTCTTTTTCTACTATCGTATGATTTTACATTAGCGAGCCTATTAGCAAGACTGCACTAGCCTGCTGTATGAATTCATTTTTTCTTTTAAATCAATTACTTTGTCTTCCAAAAAAGGTACAATACTGACTTCTTCTACATGTATATGATTCATTAATATTGTATTATTTATCTTCTAAAATGGTCATGTATTTTTAAATCATTAATTTGGTTTATTGTTTTTTATCGTGTGTGACAAACAATAAGTTTGAAAAATGTACTTATATGAAAATTCTGAAATAAGTCAAAAACAAAAACAAAAAAATAGAATAACACATTTTTCAGCATTTATTTTATTGATCACAACGCACACCTTGCATAACGAGCAAGATTGATTAGAGTATTGAGGTTTTTAGAAAGAAAATAAACAAATGTTGCAAAACATTGCACAAATTTTTCCAAAATTTCTTCTGTGCTTAAATTACTGTATGTACATAAAAACGTAAGATTCGTATACTATAAATTGCTTTTTATAATACTAAAGATTATATAGAACAATAATCAATTTCTGCGAAAAATTGTATTCGCGTACAAAAACCAAATGACAATCTTTCGAGGATTAAGAAGTCGTTAAAAACTGGTTATTTTTAATAATTCAATTAAATGAAGCTCAACAATAAGAAATAATCGAGTTATTTTTCTGTATACTAAGTGCATTCTGCGTTTTTTGTGCAGCTTTTGCTGAAAAACATCGAATCAGATTGTGAACGATAATAGTATATCTCAAAACATACCAAAAAAAGAAAAACCCCAGAAGGAAAAATATCAACATGCATTTTATAATAGACTAAAACGATATTTTTTTTTCATACGATTCAACAAAGTGTGCGTAAACCAATAGTTCAATGTCTTGCGCTCGTTTACCTTCATTGTTCATTGTTTCGTTCAAAAAAATTTCACCTGTCTGAGGTGTGAAAATAATAATTAAGTCACGACCCATGCGTTCCCGTACTTGTGTGTGTTTATGTTTACTCGCAATGCATGTTTTTGAAATTTTAAAAATGACGCGCTTGAGCAGTATAAATAAGACTGTGCGTTCTTTTTCTCAAAATAATGCTCCCTGAAATTTTTCAATTGCATCTAAAGCTATATTTTCTCGGTAAAAATATTAACTATAACTAATATGTTTGTCTTTAAATTCTGTTCTCTTGTAGCATATTTTTCTGTGATCTACGTTGATCTGTCCTCCTCTGTTTCCATCTGGGATAGAGCCAGTCTTGTGTGTGCAAATGTGAAAGGACAACAGTAAGTATGCCTGTTCATAAAATTAAAAGAATTAAATTTTTGATCAATTTTCAATTCATAAAAATAACTAGAAGTCATAAATCAATTAACTTATGAACACAGACGTTTCATTATAATGCATCTGATTAAAATTTATCATCTGGTATTTAAATTTAAGGACTGGTTTATTAATTTTGAATGAATTAGAGCTTCCAAAATAAATCAAAATGTATATTGGGTTTCTTGATTTGATTTTCAGTACAAAAAAAATTTGAATTAAACATGTAAGAGTAATTTTATTCTGACTTCTTTCCTTGAAAAAAGAACACTGTATGCAAAAAAAAAAAGTTTGGAATTGGTAACTTAAACTAATGATACAAAACCTAATTGTTTTGTATACTTATAATTTAATAAATGTTATATTAGTGGGTGACTTTGCATCTTTCAATGATATATTTGACTTATCATTTGTTCGTGCATTGTAGTTAACAAGAATTTTTATTTCTTAGATACATAAGACATATCCATAACTGAGGTGATTTTGTATCATTGATGGATGATGTATCATTAATGGTTTATTTAATAGTTGATTAATGATATAGTTGATACAGCTATATCATTTATATTTTACTATGAATGCAAGATTATCAGCTTATACCACAGTAACTTTAAATCATTTGCTTATTCTATAACATTATTCTAAATGTTCCTAAATGATTGAACTAGAGGGATTACATATCAAAATGGGGGTTTTTTTCTTAATTTATTTTCTTCATATTCTCTTTACAATGTAAAAACATATATAAACTTAAAAGTCATAAACAATACTGTCCTTTCTGACATATTTCATTTTACCAAATAAAATCTGCAATAGTCATGTTGCAGATTTTATTTGGTAAAATGAAATATGTCAGAAAGGACAATACTCTTAATCAATAGCCACGCAAAGTAATATTTCATATAAATGAAATTTCGCCTGTTACATTCAGAAGAATTATATTCCATAACTTTTATTTCAATCTTTTTCCCAGGATAATTGATAAAGATTCAATTTATATGTTGATCCTGCGTGTTCCTCGGGAGAGGTAGTGTGGCGGATGACAAGAACACTGGTTACACTACGCTTTCGGAAAACTTCGCCATTTTCCGTGTGTTTCAGTAGTAAATCACCTGTGGGTTATGAAAAGTTTGCTTTACATAATTTTTCACTCAACAACATGTACGTCGGACGTCCAAATATTGGTATGTATTAAAAATTAAAAACATTTTAAAAAGTGTTTTAAAGAGCAATAGATTCAGTTATATGAGGAACTATATATTATAGTAACAGAAAAAATGTTAATAATATATACTTTGTATCAATATACTGCAAGATAACAGTTGTGAAAAAGAATGTTTTGCTACTCTTTTCTAGAAACTGACGTCTGTCTGAATTCCGTCGGAAACTCCTTAAATGTTAACCTGTTATCTCTCGGAAAATACTATATCATGAAGGCTTACTTCAAAGTGAGATGTCTGTCTTGACGTCAAATATAAAAATATCTGTACAAAATCTCTCCAATGGCCAGACTTATTAGTGTTGGTCGTTCAGCGCCGTTGACCATCATATATTTAAAGCTTGATGTAAATTACACCTGTAGAAAACCTGGTGTGGGTGAAGTGATGCTTGGAATGCCCGTCCTTCAAATTAGCTCACGTGATAAATATTAACATTGACCATTCCTTCTATCCGGACAGTTCTAATGTGCAACAAGAAAACTTCTTACGGAAACAATTAGAAATAATTACCCTTCATAAAAGCTACATTTGTCATCATGATGAATATTTGATCTGAAATACCTGTACATCTAATTCCATGTATAACCGCGGTAAAAGCACAATATATATGTGAGCTAGAGCTTTCCTAGAACTTATTATTTTGAAAATTGTATATACAATAATACAACTTGAGATGTAGAATTGCTTCGTATCAAATGTGTGGAACTTACTAAAATTTTTGTTTGTTTGTTTGTTTGTTTGTTTTTTTTTTTTTTTTTTTTTTTTTTTTTGTTACATCAAACTATTTGAATAACACGTGTTAACAGATTTTCGAATTCTTCAGTCTAACATTTATAGGGTCTTCAAAAACTGTAATAAACAATATTCATCACGTG